ACTATGACTGTCACTGTTCTGTCAACTCATCACCTTTAGATGTGACGGCACGCAACTCAGAGACCGACGCACGCAAGTTCACTTTGTTGCGAGCTTGGGGGGAAAAGATGAAATATTTCCAACTGTGTCCACCGGTGGGACTTTTGAGGACATGTCTCTGCAACATTTTATTCTTGACGGGGTTGAAACTAAAATAGAATTTAAATATAGTGTATTTATATATATATGTGTGTGTGTGTGTGTGTGTGTGTGTGTGTGTGTGTGGGCCTTTCACTTACAGAGACAAATCTGAGTTGGCACGAACCCCACTGCTATACTCCAGTGGTTAAATAAAACATAAAGTACCATGCCTTAATGGCAACTCTCCAGAGAAGGTGAGCAGACGTGTGTGTGTGTGTGTGTGTGTGTGTGTGTGTGGGGGTGTGTGTGTGTGTGTGTGGGGGTGTGTGTGTGTGTGTGTGGGGGTGTGTGTGTGTGTGTGTGGGGGTGTGTGTGTGTGTGTGTGGGGGTGTGTGTGTGTGTGTGTGCGTGGGTGTGCGTGCCTACATGTGCTATAAAAGGTGAAAGTCTCTATCTGGGTCACGCCACATGGGACACAAGACATTGAGTAACATTGTGCCTTATTCCTTTTTAAAAATGAATGATACTGATTCATGTGGAGGAAACGGAGGGAGTCCCACTTACAACACTGCAACTCCATTCACACAGGAAAAAGCTGCACAGCAGTGGGACCGGACCTGATCGCTGAATACATGTTGTGAAATACATTTCGTGGCCTTGAATGGGGGAGAAAAGTTATTTTTTTCTTGAATTTACTTACTATAAAGGCACTGTATAATCTTTAGATTGTAATTATGACATATTTGTGATACTATCTGTTGTACTTTTTCAGAATAGGCAGAGTTTGCCTATGTCCGCTACAGGACATCTGGTGCATTTGTCACCAGGGTTAACGGTACTTTGTTAGCGATGCTATTATTCACTAAAAATAGGGTCTCTTTTCAGGGCCCTCTGCTAGCGAAGCAGTTTAATATTGTGAGGGAAGAAAGGTAGATGAAGAAACATGTTCGACTGCCGATCCTTGGCGTATACAGTAAAACTCATGATTTGTTCGGCTGCACTGTAAACAGACAAACCGGTTGCTCTTCTTCGGTTGTTTCCAGTGGAGGCCCGTTTGGCTGACCCCAGACATGTTTTAACATGAACAGAACTGTTGGACCTGTGTCATTAAAACACACTTGCTGTTACCATGGGAAACCAAACTAGAGCTAAAATCTTAGAGATTATATAAATTCAAATAACATGACAACAGGTTACTGACCAGATGAATATTAATGACCCTGTGGCCTTTCCTCTGGCACAAAAAAAATGTGTTTTGAGTCCCAGTACTGCTAAAAATAGTACTGATGTTGTTCCGTAGCAAACATTACCTCATCTATGGACCACTAGTGGAGCTATTGATTTTAAGTCTTGTTATTTTTCAATTTTTAAAAATTGCATAGAAATCCATCTTGGTAAGAACGAACGAAAAACTTAAGCTTGATTCTCAGTGAGTCATCATGCATACTGATGCACACACACACACACACACACACACACACGCATCCATACACACTAAACAAGGCTGTATTCCTGCCTTCCCAGTGGACCGTCGCTAAATAGTGCAATTCAGAGGAAAAGCCGCCAACAAATGCTGAGTCAGCCAAACTCTCCAGCCATCTCTCCCCGGTCCATATTTCACCACCAGCTGTGCGTGTTCTCCATAAACACACACATACACACTTAAAACGCCGAGAGAAAGAGTTCATACGTTTTCTTTAATTAAAGGAGAAAGTGACAGCTAAACGGTGCTGGCTGCTATAAATCCACAGAACCGGCTGCTGGATGCAGGTGGGGAGTTACTTGTTTCTCTCAAAGATGGTGTAAATTATGTGCTGCTGTTCTTCTTTGCATTGTGTGTGTGTGTGTGTGTGTGTGTACACTTTTCACCATGATACAATATCTTCAGTGTAAATAACAGGTGAGTATTTTTATTTTTTAAACTTAGAATCCAATCAACTCATTTTCAGTGGATCAGCTAGTTCATTAATCAACTAATAATAGATAAATCAAAGTCCACTTACTAGCTTTAACCAAGCTTTCAGCTGCACCTTAAAGTAGAATTAGCAGATGGAAATGGATCTCAACTGAGGCGTCTCCATCTGCTGAAGAAGACCATGAGATGCAGTTGAAAACACAAGAAAAAGACAAAGCTAATAAGTAGACCTTGAGTCAAGATTATTGTATGAAAGCACTATTTACAAGAACTTTCAATCAACTGTTTCACCACTAAATACACTGTGACTTATGACTGATTTATTTGAACTTTTACTGATCAAAAGGACATTAAACTGTCATAAGGCATCAGTATTGTGACAACAAATGTGGCTTGAAGTCCATCCCTTTAATGAGGTCCCACACCTAAAGAGTGAGTTTGAAACTGCAGGGAAACTGTGAGTCCAGAGGTTTCGGCTCAGTGTTGCTGAAAGTCCCTGCTTAATCCAGCGAGTCCAGCTTCAGTTGATCTAATGAGCAAAGAGGGACACAATATAAAAAAAGGAATTGCAGCAGAAACACAGAGCCGGGAGGGGACACAAAACAACACAACCAGTCACGTGACCCCTTTGTAAATTGCAGGTAGTGGTGTGTTGGCAGGCAGTGAAAAGAACGTAGCAAATGAGTTCTTTCACCTGTGCCAACGTCAGTTTCATTTGGTTTTGTTTTCATCTTTAATCTGCAAGATTAATAGTTTATCTTTGGTGCACATGGTGCACGCATATGCCTCCTTCCTTTAAATGATTGTTGAGAAGGTACAAATATATTCCAGAGGAAAGACCTACCAGCCTTTCATAAATTGTTTACACGCTGAATCACTCGTCAGTCAGTGACGGAGAGCAAAACAGATATTTATGTATGAGGGAATATCACTGATCAGGCCTAACACAATGTGATGCTCTCCGTGAGTTGAAAATGAGTGAATAGAAATAATATCCCATTCCTCCAGCATCATAAAAGTAATCTCTCTCCAAACTAAAGCCAGTGGTTATTTAAAGGAAACAAATTAAATATCTGAAACATAGTGATATGCATTGGAAAATTTCATTCCAGCAGTTAAAAGTTGCTGCAGCTCAGAGGTTGTGAATGCTAAGTGCTGCTGTCTATGGTGCTGAAATGTTTGCACGACTGTCCTTTTAATGCATCAGCTCCAAACCAGAGGGACAGTGCTTTGTAACCAACAGAAAAAAATGATTGTTTAGCATTCAGGGACAAAGAGTAGACACAGCATTAATGTCTCTGACCTCGTCACACCTTCAGAATATCCCTTGTCTGTGGTTTACTCTGAGTAGGGTGTTTACTGTGGACGTGTTATGCTTGTCGTGCATCATAAGAGTTGCATGGTGGCAGGACAGATTTGAAAGTTGAGCTGAAAGTTGAAACTTTTTTTTTTACTTTTTAAAAAAACCACATCTGTTTCCACTTTGTGGTGCGTCGTTCCTTTATCTGAGGCCTGATGAAGCGCCATTGAGTAAGACAGTGAGTAATGTCCAGCTGCAGGCTCTGACCGCCGATCACATGATGTGAAAAGCTCAACTTTTCCTACTTCCTACATAAAGTGATGACACTTTTTTTGGTTTGCTTAAGATCACAGGAGATACACTCCCCAGCTGACTCCATGTCAGGGCCAGAACTAATAGTAATTATATATTTTTGTCATTTAACTGATGAAATGCAACAGTGAGAAAATGAACCAGCGATTGGACCTTGTAAAGTTTGGACAAACTTTCACTTCTGCTCATAGAAACATTGTATCTGACCACAGCTTTCTGCCTCCTGGAGCCTGCTGTTGCCCTCTAAACACTGTGGAAGATACAGAGGCCAACTCTCTGATGCAATGTCAATATGCCAATAATGTCAACAACATCCACTTCCTGTTACAATGCCAGTGACAATCTCTGCCCTGCCCTCGCCCACAGCAGATGGTGGAAAATCTGCTGGAGAACAAAGCAAACTGTTTGGTTTGGTCAAAGCTTATGGCAAATCTAAATGTGTCCTGTCCTCTTTGGGGAGCATGACAATGTAGTAAACTGAATTTCACTCTTAATTATATTGTGGCTGCACACTAATGAATACAACCAGGGACATGTGACAGAAGGGCCGCACATCTGCACACAAATCCAACCTTAGAGGATGCAGATGTTGCCTGTCGGTGTACCCAGCTTGATGTTGGACACAATTAAGTCTCACCTACATGGAAAAAGTAGCATTAAACACTGTATGACCCTGTTAAAGTCAGTTCCCAGAGAAGCTCTGAGCTCTGCTGAACACAGCATCACATTCAGTCTTGGATCTCATGAGAGGAGATGTTTGTGTTCGCACAGTCAGACTGAAATGTCTGCAGCCAGAAGAAAAACACACAAAGACTCTTTCCTACTCCTTAGTATAAATCCACAGTGGAAGTCTAAATAAGGCCATGTGCTGTTTAATCATGCAGGTTAGTGGAGCCTGAACGGGTCTGCATGCTGCATTAGACTTGATTTTCTGCAGCATCTCTGCCACGCACGACACGCACAGCGCGCACGCTTTTTCGCACGCACTGCCACTGTAGTCTACCTGTGCTAATAAGTTATCACCCCACCCCTCACTCTGCCCCCCCTCCCCATCATAACTCCCCTCCCTCCCCCTCCCTGTAGTGCACTCACTTGCTGCACAACTGCGATTGCAGAGAAACACCAGCAAGCAGTCGAACAGTGCAGTCTCAGGAGGGAATACACACACACGCGCGCGCGCGCGAGTGCGCACACACAAACACACACACACACACACAAACACACAGAGTGTTGCGCGCACGCACAGGCTCAGACACGTAATAAAGTCTTTCTTTATCACCTCATACACACGCACTTACACACAGAGAAACAGGCACACACACACACACTGAGACACACACACAACAAACTCACCAGTTGGGTTCTTGTTTTTCTTGAGGCTCCTGCCACAAAGACACTGCAGCATATGCGATCCTTTGCTGAAAATGTTGTTCCAAATAAACCGCATGGATTTGGCCGAGACAGGGGAGGAGGAGGAGGTGGAGGAAGAGGAGGTGGGGGACGAGAGGCGCTCCGGATGCGGCAGCCTAAAATTCACCCACCTCATGGGGGCTGATCCGCCCCCCTGTTTGCATGCCAGCAGAGCCGGCCAGCTGTTGGGCTCAGTTCGGCGGTGCTTCGGCCCCCCAATCTGCACCATAGACAAGAATAAGAGCAGGAAGCCCGGCTCGTCGCCCGGTTTCTCGCCCGGTTCCTCCACAAGCCCAGAAATCAGCAACCGCACGTATTCCGCGTCGACGTCGTCCTCGTGCGGCAGGAAAAGAGCAACCGCTGCGGCGCTTTTCTCCGCGGTGTCCGACTCCGGCTGCCCCAGCGGCCGGTGGTCCTCAGCGGCGGAGGAGCGGTCGCTGCTGCTGCCGCCCGGCCGCCGCGGCGTGAAAACCCCGCGAGCGCTCCTCTTCAAATGGCGTCGTCTGCCGCGCGGCGCGGGGAGAGGAGCGGCAGCGGCTGACAGGCATGCGGCGGCGCTAGCGTGAAGTCGGCGGTACGCGGCAGCTGTCGGCTTCTGCACAAAAAACCATTGCATATTAGTGGGGATCGCAGGGGTCGGTGCGTCCGTCCGTCCGGGAGGGGAGGAGGAGGAGGGGAGGAGTGCGGATACCGGGTGTCCGTCAGCAAGTCGGTGGCATCCCTGTACCCACACACTAGGCAAGTACTGCAGCAGGGGGGCTCCTTTCCAAACGCACACACACTCGCTCAGACACACTGCACACACACGCTAGATGCAGAATCCTCTTCCAGCAGCAGCGCTGGCTCTCTGGTCTCTGGTCAGTGAGCGCGCAGGCAGCGCTGGACCGGCCAGGTGAATCACTGCAGGGAATCTCTGCACTATCCCACTCTGTGTTTTTCTCTTTCAAAAGTCCTTATGAATATTTGATCCGCGTTTCGGCCTCCACTTCTCAATAATCCATAAGCTCCAGTGCGCCAAGATACTGCTGCTGCTGCTGCTGCTGCTGTCTGTCTGTCTGTCTGTCTGTCTGTCTGTCTGTCTGTCTGTCTCCTCTTCCTCTCCTCTCTCCTCTCTCCTCTCTCCTCCTCCTCCTCCTCCTCCTCTTCCTCTTCCTCACCTTGCTGATGGAGAGAAGCTGCTGGACTGTGGCTCTGCTGCCTCCACCACTCCAGGAAACTAAATGCAGAAGAAGAAGCAGAAGAACACCGGGTCCGGCTCGTGGTCCTCTCGCGCTTCTCTGTTGCTTCAGCGTCTTTCTCTGCTGCGCTCGAGACGACCGACGGCCGGTGGGGCGCAAGGAGGTGCACTGACTATCTATACCCAACCAGCACCAAAGTCAGAGCAGTTCAGCAAAACACGCATTCCGGTTGGCACCTTCAGAATAAAACGAATAAATCGACATTTAGGTTTTTAACTGCTTTTTAACTTGAGCACATGTGAGGAGACTCTCTTTTCCCCCTATGCAGCAAGGTATATATTTCACATAGGCCTTTATACTATATTTTCACATGGTTTATGAAAAGAACATTATTTTCTGTAGCCAATTTTCAGCAGGCAATCAGGAAAGAAAAAAGGAAAGAAATTGGATAAAAAATGTGCAGTAAATTACAGCTGAAGTTCAAAAAGTTACTCATACCTGCATTAAAGTGACAGGTAATGGCCAAAGCATTTACATAGGCCTGCAGCATTCCCCTAAATTAACTGTCTTTATGAGGGAAGTCATTTTAAGGCTGTTTCTGTACTTCAAATATATTTCTCTTCTTTCTGCAAAGTAACTTACACCATTTCCTGATTTGATCACCTTAGAGTTGTGCACAGCTACAGCCTTAGTTCTTTTTCTTTGAAATTAGTTTCACTTGCTTTCCACTCGACTCTTATTCTGAAGGAAAAAGTTACCTCCGGTTCGCCCGTGCAACTTGATGCAGCCTCACAGTGAGCAGCTGTTTGCAGTTACGTAGACATGTGGTTCCCACACCGTCAGTATGTGGACTGACTGGATATGAACCATAAGCGGCAACATTTTGGAGGGGGGGGGGCGAGATGGCGTCACTGATAAATGCACGAGACCACCACATATCTACCTTTGTAACTGCTATCTCATTACAGCGCATCCTTCTTTATGTCAGAGAGGCGTAACTCCAAACTCCGTTTAAAGACCTTGCAGTTTAATGCCGTCTGTCCTATCAGCCAATGTACACACCTGTTGCACGACTCTCTTGTAACACTGGGCTCTTGCAGTCACGTGCATGTATGGTCTATGGGAAACAGCTTCATCTGAATGAAGTCTTATCTATGAGAATTGCTAGTCTCCTATTTATTTTTGCTATGGTGTGAAGAACCTTCAGCATTTTAGAATAAAATGTTGTGGAATTGAAGTGCAGCTTGGTGAATTTGATTCGCACTGAGGAGACCACAGAAATGCTGCAGTGGTTTCAGAGGCGCAAGCTGGCGCTGTCCATGGTGCTGGATCCACATCAGCTGCTCAAACTCACTAACACAAACTACCAGTTACAGACAAACACTGGATTTCCAGCAACAAACCTCACTCTCAGCTGCATTGCAGTATTTGGCAAATGAGTCCAGGATAATGACCCTCGCAAACAGCCACGTCTCCTGCTCAACTTGACTTGTGTATTGTGACATTTGGATCACAACAAAGACCACACACACATAAGAGATACACCCACACACAGTCATTACTGCAGGATGACTGACGGCTGGCAGAATTTTTTTTTTTTTCACACTCTGTTCACAACTTGTATTATACAGCTCAAGGCTGCAGAATGGGATTGCTGTCATCAAGGGGCAAAATATCATCTGTGTGCACAGAGAGCTGCTGCAGCTCAGTGAGCAAACAGCCACAGCTGCATGTACTGTATGTGTACGGTGGATGCATTTATTCTACACAGCATATAGTGTGGCTGAGTAAAGGAAGAAGTAGAACAATAGAAAAGGCAAGGGTTGTAGGAACAAGGAGGGAGAAGGTGTGGGATGACAAAGGTGCAAGAGAAAAAACAAGGAAGAGAGTGAAAGGTGAGAGGAAGAGAGAGAAGGAAACAGGCTGAAATCTGAGAGCAGGAATTCAGAAAGAGCAAATGAACCACAAAAGAGGCAACTTTTGAGTTCAGTGCTCATAGGAAAGAGCCCAAAGCTTCTCTACTTGATATAAATCTCTACTTATTTTCATCTGGTTGCAGTGGCTCCCTTTTCCTTTTTCTTTTATTTTCTTTTCTTCTTAAATAAAACTTGAGATCAAGTTTTTCATGGGCCCTGTCCTGCAGCTGGACCCTAAAATGTCATCATTCCATACCTGCACCATTTGAAGGAGAACATAATTGTAAAATTAATATAACCTGTAGCTTCCCTTCCTCCGTGGAAAATGCAATAGAAAACATTTTTACTGGATGCACATCTGGTCGTATTTGAGGTGTGATTTATTTAGTTATTTTATTATTATAATTAGTTTTTTATTCACGACTTACATAACATTAACATAAGATATAACTGAACACCTGACTGTGTGCCTGTGAGCCTGAATTCAGGGCAAAACATCTCTCAATATGATTATAGGACCTTTTTATGAGCTGCCTTTGGGTTAAATCACTGCTGCGTTAAAGCCTTGCAATTTATGTGAAAAGCATTTCACAGTAAGCAAAGGAGATTTATTGCTCCTTCCAGCAACTGTCCAGCAAAGGACCAACAGCACTTGCTCATGAGTGGCAGATTTGTAGACTGAGTGCCTGTAGCAGCACATAGTGGTACACCAGGCTATTGAGAAGTGGGTTAGCACTAAGCCTGCTGATGTATTGATTTGTTGGCTGCAGCGCTGGGAGAAAAGCACAACATGGCCTGCGACCAGGGAATATCATACAACCTCCCTGTAAGCCACAGAATAGACGGCAAGACAAGTGCTGCTGTGGAACCCCAAGTGGAAATGATTGTCCTGATTTGCAAGGATTCATATTTAATCTGATCCACTGTAATATAAAACTTTTCTTTCTTTTTCTTTTTTTTTTTTTTACAAATGCTAGAAAAAAATACACATTTCTTTGGGACACATCAACCCAAGACAACCTCTCGTAAACACATTTGGTCTTGATTGTGATTGGCTCCTTTTCCATAAGAATCAGTGGAATCCTTCCACTCAGGCTGCTGCAGGGTCTGAAGCTTTGACTCAGCATGTTTACCTCATTTGAACTAGAAAAGCTGCTGCTGATGGTCAACCAAAGTCCAGTGTTATTAGACTGAGAAGTTAATCTTTAAAATCATTGAAGGAAGTAAGGTCCAGTAAGGTCCCCTCTTTGCAAACCATAATAATCAGTCTGATGCTTGGCCTGAAAAAACTGAGCTGACCCATTATTCAAACCCTGAAGCCAAAAAAACAAACAAAAAAAACCAAAAAACAAATTTACTGTGTCATATAAAAAGAGCATCCCAAATGATGCAGCACATCCAAGCTGCTGAGCCTAGAGCTATGTGGTAGTACTCCACCTGCAGGTCATCAAGGAAAACTACAACTGAGTATTCTGTGCATAATCAACAAGTCCAGTTATTTATTTATTTATTGGGGATAGAAGAATTAAAGATATGAAATCTATTGGAAATCAATTGTGTGTATTTTTGGCCCTTAACTCATCATTTATAAGGTCAATGAACTGCATTTAACTATCTGTTACATTAATTTAAAGGGTCTTTGGGAAACAGGGCAAGGATACAGACAGTGAATATCAACAAGTGAAACTTAAATATTGTGGTTTCTTAGTCTTTCCTGATATAAGCCACACTGGTTTTATTTTCATGTTTGAATAATTATAAAGTATAAATTCTGACTGGAAAAATATGCTGGCCACGATCGATTAAAAAAATAAAGAAAGGGAACATTTTAAAACTTTTTCCACAATTCAGAACTTCTTCAATCCCACATTTAAACTGCTGTTTAACTAATGACCGGAAGGGGGCAGCAATGCGCCGGTGCAGCGTCCAGTCTGCCACAAATACAGGAGACGAAGTATTGGCCACACTCGACGCAGTTTGATCAGGCAGCGCTTCTGTTGACAACACCGGGCAAACAATTTCAGTCGGGTAATTTCATATTGCTAGTTTACGTGTCGTATTTGTGGATGTTTTACTGATAGAGGTATTGTAATTACATGTTGTCGCTGTCTGTCTGTCTTTTCCCAGTCGTCTCGTTGTCATGGAGCGATGCTTTAGGTATGAAGAGCACAGGAAAGCGCTTAACTAAGGCTACTAGCTTCTCCCCTTTACCATATGCTTCAGTGCCATTTAGGTTGCTGTGGTGCATCACTAAATGGCTACATTTTTTTGACACTTGGCTGAAAGGGGAGTCTTGAGTTAGACAACGCAGTTATGGCTCGCTGACAATGCTATAGGATGTGTTTTGGCTAGCCCCGATGGAGAGAACTCGTCGCCGAACTCCACTCAAAAATCAAGCAATTTAAAAGTTCCGCTGCAGGATATATCCAGCTAATGATACATAAGACTCAGTGTATCAGTACGTTACTGATGTGTTTAGTAAAGTTGGTACATATGCCGAATTGAAGGGCGAATCTGGCTTAGCAAAGTCTTGAGTCATAGCTGCTTAACGAGACATTTAACATTCTCAAATAGGCAAGAATACAATTAATTGCCAAGATTTGTGTAGAATTTGGCTCATTTCAGCGGCAGCAAAATATGAGGCACAAAGCCTTGCTATAATAGATCAGTTGTGCTGCTTTGCTTGCATGCTATGCCTTATTGCCATGAACTAGTCATGACTTAGACCAGGAATTCACCTGTTCACTCGAAGCTGAAGAATTTTAGTTTCTGCAAGACACATTTCTGGTTCTTATGAACAGGTTAAGAACCATAAGATTTTGTTTGCATGTAGTTCAGAGTGTATCTGTCTGTGTATGTTTTTATCTGTTCACCTGTCTACTACAGGGTTTTTAAGTCCAATCTGCTTTTGAAATGTGTTGTTTTCACTCGTTTTTTAAAGAAGGGGAGCACATTTTCATTTTATGACATATGTTACTAGAAAAAGAGCCTTTGTCTCTGCCTTGTTCTATTTATTCACATCTAACTCTTGTGTTGTCCTATTTGAAGTGTCAGCAGGGATGATTCTGCTCCTTGCACGCCACCTCCGCCTCCACCAACATCAAATCCTCCTCCTCAAGTTCCCCCTTCTCCTCGTCATCCCCCTCCTATTCCTCCCTCCTCTCCTGTGTCACCCCTGACTCCTCCTCCCCGAAAAGGAAGGCTGAGTTTTGCCGGAGCCATGGTGGACGTCAGTAAGTGGCCCCTGTTCTCTCTGCTGAGCGCTGAGGAGCTAGCCACGGTCCGACAGGCTTGTGTCTTTGGAACCTCTGCTAATGAAGCCATCTACATCACCCATGGAAATGAGGTGAGGAGTGTGTCCTCAGCATACCCTGTCTCTTTCACTTGTCCTTGTTTATCTATACTTAAAGGTTTTAAGGCATTATTATCTATTTAAAAGCTGTTAAACTCCGTAATGTGTTTGTGTGGCATGCTTTGTGCCTATGTGCTCAAGTTTGACATTATATTTCAAGCTATATTCAAATAGCATCTACATCCTAACACGTGTTTCAGCTTGTGTACGCTCCCTTCACCTTTCATGTGAAGTATATGTTGATCAGTTGTTCATTATTTCCCAGGTATTTGTGTTTGGCGTGAACTGCAGTAGCTGCCTTGGTACAGGAGACAGCCTGAGCACCATTGTGCCAAAGAAACTAGACTTCCTGCGAGGGAAGAAGGTCATCAGCCTGAGCTATGGCAGCGGACCTCACGTCCTGTTGGCTACTGAAGGTAGGTTATTACTCATGCAATGCTCGCTGTGTGAATCATTCAGATAGTAAATCTCAAACTTGCACTCACAGGTGTCTGTCTCTGCTCCTCTCACCGTAAACCCTGCCAAGTATAAGTGCTCCTGTCTCTTATAGAAGTATTTAGATACTTCTTCTCTTGTATTGGATTGTATTTTTGTAGGATTTTTAGCAGAAGATTGAATGGTGAAACTCATGATTCACAAGCCTCTGCCTCCTCCGATCCGCTGAATAATCCTTGTGTTGATTCATTACAGATGGACAGCTGTTTGCTTGGGGGCACAATGGCTACAGTCAGTTGGGGAATGGGGCAACCAACCAGGGCCTGTCCCCAGTGCTGGTCACTGCTAACCTGCAGAACAAGAAGGTGAAAGAGGTGGCGTGCGGCTCGCATCACTCCATGGCTCTGACTCAGGATGGAGAGGTGACTGTTGTTTTCATGACTCTCCACTTTCATTGTTGTTACTGATTATTCTAGCCTACATTGATTTTTTTTTTTTTTTTTTAGATGTAATGTTTGGAAGATAAAAAAATCATCATTTATAAAATCAAATATCAAGGTTGATCCCTTATGTAATGACTGTGTGAGCTCTGAGCTGTCAGTTTAATATTAAACATTAAAGACCAGTGCAGACTGTCTGTTACTACAGACAAAAAATAGGAATTTGTAGTTTTCCATTTGTTTTATTCTTAATGTTTCCACCTGCTGCTTGTGGCAGTGATGGAGGGAGATAACCATAGCTAAAATATATTGAATAATTCATTTAGTTCAGATGTAAAATGTCATCTTTCCTGACACGTTAGCACCTCAAGATAAATGTTGTCATTCTCATTTGGATCAAGTATCATATTTCAGCTATGACTGTATCGGAGCATCCCCATACTAATCCTCTATAGCTCTGTAGCTGACGTTTGGAGAGGCACACAGTAGATGATGAGTCATAGAAGGGAAAAGCTGGTGCACAGAAAAATGATTTCTTCTTAAGGCTTCAACGAGTTGTCATTCAACACATAAATGACTGTAATTTATTTGAAAGCACTACATTTTGATGTTAGCATATTTACATATACCAGTATGTTTGTGTTTTATGTTTAGTTTTAGAAGGGTCACTTCAAGCCTTAACGTAGCCACCTTCTGTCCAGCTCGTGTCAGACTAAGCAGCTTATTTCTAACCCGAAGGCATTAAAGCTAATTAGGCTGTGTGTGTGTATGTGTGGTAAGCAGGAAAGGCTGTTGCTATGTGAAATGTTACTCCACATTTCACAGTGTTGCGTGAAAATTGCATTCTCTGTCTACATTATGTATTTGTGTGTCATGCTTCCCTCAGTTTGTAGAACAGCGTGTGGGTGGGGTAGGTTTTCTTTTTGGGGGGTTTTCAGATGCTTTTAAAACTTTAATGTGGTAAATTTGATTCAGCCGTTAACATTATTTTTCATGGCGGCACTTCAACCTCCCTGCTCCTCCAGGTCTTCGCATGGGGTTATAACAACTGTGGCCAGATTGGTTCCGGCTCCACAGCCAACCAGCCCTACCCTAGGAAAGTCACGGGCTGCCTGCAGGGCAAGAACGCGGTGGGCGTCGCGTGTGGTCAGACCTCCTCCATGGCTCTGGTCGACAACGGAGAGGTGAAGATGGCGTTACATGAACCCTTAGAGTTCCATGTGAGAAATCTGAGCGTCGTATAGTAAAGAGGCTTGTTTAATGTTTGTCCAGGTGTATGGCTGGGGCTACAATGGCAATGGACAGCTGGGTGTTGGTAACAATGGAAACCAGCTGACGCCTTGCCGCCTCACTGGACTCCAAGGGCTGTGTATTCAACAGGTAGGACAGCAGCCTAATGTAATGCTGACTGGTGGTGTGTATGCCGCGGAAAATGAAAATGACTCCAAACATGACCCACCTGTTAGTCGGTCATTGTGACTATCTAACAAACCCAAACCACAGTTCTCCTGTCTGATGGTGTAGTTGACGAGGTAATTGTTAGCTGCTGCAGCACCAGTCGAGCTTAAAGCGTTCCCTGCTTTCCAGATTGTATCGGGCTACGGCCACTGCCTGGCACTAACAGATGAAGGGCTGCTGTATGCCTGGGGAGCAAACACCTACGGTCAATTGGGAACCGGCAACAAGACCAACCACCTCAGCCCAGTACAAATCATGGCTGACAAAGAAAGGTACGGGAGAAGTTTCTCCCATCCTGTTAAGACGCCACTTTCCTGTTTCCTGTCCTCATTTCCTCCCTCTGCTCCTGGTCTTAAGTAGTTGCCAGTGATCAAAAGGAAGTTGTCTTTCCCTTCATAAACAAAGACTATAGACCAAATCCCGCCACAGTAAAAACACAGTTTTATACATAAAAACATGGTGTTTGTCAGGCTGTGTGTTAACGTATAGCCATCTCTCATTTAATAGGATTGTGGAGGTCGCTGCCTGCCATTCAACACATACCTCAGCAGCGAAGACGCAAAGTGGGCAGGTATACATGCAATTAATCTTGTGTACAATTGTTGAATGTAGGTACCTCTTGTGTGTTTATATGTGTTTGGCTCATATGTGAGTATGTTTTGTGTGATTGTGTATTTCCTGTTTTATAGTTTTCACATTGATTTGATTGATAAATGAGTTTGCAAATTTTAACCTCGACTGTTAAAGGAATAGTTTGATATTTTGGGAAATATCCGGGTCAGAGTTTTCTTCAGTTCATGTCTCGCATTGAGATTGTTTTTATATGATGGAGATGTTGGTAGATGTGATGTTAATACCAGTGTTCATCCTCCAGGTGTACATGTGGGGTCAGTGTCGGGGTCAGTCCATCGTCCTGCCTCACATCACTCACTTCGCCAGCACCGACGACGTCTTCGCCTGCTTCGCCACGCCCTCTGTCATGTGGAGGCTCATGTCAATGGGTGAGGGAGAGGTTGTTGATCCTGTGTGGAAGAATTTATTTTGCCAACACTATGAAAAGAAATTCTGTTTTTTACATGCACATCGTGTTCGGCTTTATTCCAGAGCACGATGACTTCCTGACTGTTGCCGAGGCTCTAAAGAAAGAGTTTGACAGTCCAGAAACGGCTGACCTGAAATTCAGTGTTGACGGCAAATGCATTCATGTTCACAAAGCTGTGTTGAAGATCAGGTGGGCGTGTGTTTGTGTGTGCATATAAAACATAGATGTCACTACAAAGTAATCATGCTAAATCAGTGATAGCATTGCTTTTGAATAGCTTCTTCCCTGGCCCATGACCCGTCCCTCCACAAAGTTGGGTGCAAATCGGTTCAGTACTTTTTGCGTAATCCTGCTGACAAACAAACAGGCAGGGGCAGACAGAGGGAGTATATCAATACACAGCCCTGTATTGAGTACAAATAGAGGTCTTTTGTTTCAAATAGGTGTGAGCATTTCCGATCGATGTTCCGCTCCCAGTGGACGGAGGATCAGCAGGAGGTGATAGAGATTGGCCAGTTCTCTTACCCTGTCTACAGATCCTTCCTGCAGTTTCTCTACACAGACACCGTCGACCTTCCTCCTGAGGACGCCATCGGTTAGCAATTCAAATACTGTGTTCTCTTATTCACACTGAATCAGCTTAACGATGTATTTACACTGTTATCTCTGTGTGTGTGTGTGTGTGTGTGTGTGTGTGTGTGTGTGTGTGTGTGTGTGTGTGTCGTCCGCAGGCCTGCTGGACCTGGCCACCTCTTACTGCGAAAACCGTCTGAAACGCCTGTGTCAGCAGATCATCAAGAGCGGTATCACTGTGGAAAATGCCTTCACCCTGCTGTCCGCCGCCATACGATACGACGCAGAGGTACAATGTACACAGACAGACTGTGCACAACAATACCGAGATGTTAACGTGTAGCGGCTGATAGTGGTGGTTCATCTTACCCCGACACATTTATCCTATTGTCTTACTCTATACAACAACAGCTGAGTCTGAGTTTCAGGCAACTGCATGAATGGGACAGTGATTGACATGTTGATTGAAACACAGTACTGCATGTGTCTAACTGTCCTTTCAATAGTATTGTTTTGAGAATCCATTACTGCAGTCAACAACTTCTCTATAAAACCAACACTTTTTCTTGCAGCACGTGATTTAAAGTTCCTATATCGACCAAAGAATAAGGGGACACCCGGTGTACACCCAGTGAACTGCATGAACAACATTACATTCACCCCTATTCTAGAAATGACTCCTACACTGTGCTGTTGTGTGGATGGTGCTGCTGTGGCATTGTACTCTCCAGAGGGATCGTGTCAGTTTGGTCGTTTCTATTCTGTTCTCTGCATTACATTATATTAGATTTTAGTATATTCTAATCCGGTCTCATTATGTGTCTCTTTCCAGGACCTGGAAGAGTTTTGTTTCAGGTTCTGTGTCAACCATCTGACTCAGGTGACTCAGACCGGAGCCTTCTGGCAGGTGGACGGAGCAATGCTCAAGGAGTTCATTAGCAGAGCTAGCCGCTGCGGAGCCTTCAAGAACTGAGTGGTACTCTTTTCATTTTTACACAGTATAAACTATGATCTGACCGAGTGGATGTGGTTGTAGCAGCAGCGTGTCACCGCGCTGGAAATATCCATTCTGATCACATTCCTAAAAGGAAGCAACGGTCCGGTTGATTTTCATATTTACTGAGGCACATGTTGGCACATAAGCAGCATCATTGAAGAGATTCTGGACTGGAGTTTGAGCTGCGTTATCCACTGATCTGAAATCAGCACTTTGGCCAATTCCTGTGGAGTCACTCGACATACTCATGGCGCTTTTTCTGTCAAACTGAACTGTATTCTCTACAGGCTGTATGTATACTTGAATTTTTGCTTCTCTTCTCGGCCAGTGCTTGCATGTACTGAACAGTCTTCCTTTATTTTCTGGAAAAGTTACTGTGGGAGACCAAAGACCTAGAAGGAATAGTAAAACCAGTTCAAAGAACAGTGCGTCTTTGTTTGCTAACTGAAAAAGATGGTTTTGTTATAAGAGCTTAGATAACTGATTTACACTGGCCAGGACACTAGTACCACTGTATTGAAACACATCTTTGAGTTACCTCTACTTTCCATTTCTATCATTTTCAGATTGCAGTCTTTGTGTTCAGGCAAAACTACATATTTGATATGTCAAATCTATAAATTTAACTTAATTTAAAAAGCAGAGTCCCATTTAGAGGCATCAACATACACAGCTGCTCCAGATGCCACTGTGGGTTGTTATGGGACACTTGGTTTGTTATGTTAATTGTTCTCTAGCTGGGATTCTGTATATTTTAGAAGTTCAATACCATTGTGGGGTGTATGATATTTTCCTTTTTTATATTCAAGTCTGTTTTCTGTCCATTACGCCTGACTCAAGTTTTTGTTCTGTGGCACTTTAGGAAACTACAGTTGCTTTTTTCTTCATATTCAGTAAAACACTAACAGTTTCAATAGTTTAAAACCCTGTGGAAGGAAAGACTAGATAACTGAGTTAAAGAATTCTGTACTAGAGCTTTTTTAAAAGCATCATTAAATATTTGAGGCACATTACATTACTAGATTCCTTAATAATTCCTTGGTAATTTATTGCGTTCTTTTGTAGATACAGGGAGAATGCCCTGGACTGAACCTGCACAAGACACTGCAAGCTAAAGCAATATTAACTCTTTGAAATGCTCTGTAGAAATAAATGTGTTTTTTTTTGTTCATGTTTGCGTATTTGCTTCGGGTTAAGATTACCAAAAAAAAAAAAACTGCTTGCAGGTCCTAGTTTTTCCTCTCTGCTGTATCACTGGGTGTTGTGACTATCTATGTATGCTGCTGCAGGAAATTGTTTTAGAGTAGTTGAGATAACACCAGGTCAGCTGGCAGCGAGGCTGGTGAGATCAGTTTCAGTTTCCTCTGTTAGGTTTCTATTCCTTGATGCCACGAGTAGAGCCTCTGTTTATTATTAAAGCACAGGAAACAATTATAGATGAATTGAGGTTAGATTTTGACTTAAATGGTATGAGGAGCAGGTTTACACTTTTCTTTTTTTTTTTTATATGAAAAAGGACAAGCAAACTGGAAAAAATAAAGATGTTTTTGCTTATTGTATTAAGATAAAAATATATTTTTGTTATGCTTTCTTAAGCTTTTATTTACTTAGGACCAGTTTATAAGTCATGCAACATGCTTAAATTCAACTTACAGCATTATGATGTTGGGATTTATATTACTATTCTTTTGCTGTTACATATCTGGGACATGTTACTTCACTTTGTTTTCTATTCAGTTTTGGGGCTGATATGTTTCTGTGAATAAATAAGTAACTCATCTGATTTGTTCCCATTTTACTGCATATTTTGTATTAACCTAGTCCCTTACAAGTTTATTCTTGTTGTGTACATATTCCTCAGCGTAAGATTAGATTTCAGACATTGTTGCCAGCGGATTCAAGATTGAATAGTTAAAATACCTACCTGTATTTCTTCTCATTTCAGTTGTTTTCTTAATGCATTTAATTTTGTTTTATGTTAAAGTAGCTCATTCTTTTTACAGGGTGATACAAATAGCAGCTACATGATGATAATATGATACAATCTAGTGCTGTATATGATATTTTATACTAATGATCATCATTGTCATTACAATTTTATATGAGTACTCAGTACTCATGGGTCAAGGCTGTGTGGGGAAATTATTTGGAAAAGGTCTGACATCACTGTCATACCTTAAATATAGCGTCATCAATTGTATCATATGGACACTCCACATATATCGCGAGAGTATGGCACTGAGAAAGGGGGAGGTCTCTAATAAAGTTCATTTTCTCCTGATCTGTTCATCTGAAAAATGTCATTTTGATGTCAGAATGTACGCGTGGCTTGTGAAAACTGGATCCAATATTTATTTCGGTGACTATGGAGCGAAAGAATCTGTGATAATCTCGTTCACTTCGCCCACTGGAATGAATACACTCAGACCTGCTTCCGGTTTCCTAAAGGGGCGAGGAGCTGGAGAAACACACGTCACGCAGATACAGGAAATAAACGATGTATGTGTCTTCCGGCTCCGTTAATATAGCTAGACATTGGCAGGTTGAATGGAAGGAAGCAAGACAAGGAACCGTGCCGATACGGGCCAGTCCAGTCCGGGTCGAGATACGAAAGACGGTAGCACCCAGACTGACAGCAGAGCACAAGGTGAACTAGATGGAAAAGGAGTTAATATTCTAATGCTAATGGATTAGCTAGCTTTGACAATGATTGATTTGCACATTGAAATTCAAAGACAATCCTTCCTGACTATATTGGTTAGCGTTTTTTTCATTATGAAAGTTTACCACTGCAGATAGTATTCAACCTTGTGACAAAGGTGTTCATGAATTGAAGGTATAATGTATCCTAATGTCTCATAAATGAATAGTATACTGTGCTTCTGTTTGCTCTAACTGTCTCAGCTGAGCATGTCCAAAGTTCAGACATTGTGGACATACATTATAGTTTTTATTATTATTACATTAGAAGTAAACAAGACTAGATCCCTCCATGTTTATGTAAAAGATATGCATTACATGACATGCAGCTGACACAGAATCATTTCAGATGGTCATGACCTCAAGTCGTGGTTTAGGTTTATTTAGAATTATGATATAAATGGGAACCTGCTACTCTCACACCAGCAAGTAATTACAGCTTTGCACAAAGGTTCTTCAGTGGCAAAGCGTGGACAAGATGACTCTCCATCATGGATTTTATTTCTTATTTTGTCTCTCCTCCAGGTCATGGCCCCAGGTTATCAAAGGTCAATCTGTATACATTATTGAGTTTGTGGATGGAGCTGTTCCCTCGGGAACAGCACGAAGAGGATGACCACAGTCAGGTTGGTATACAAACTGAAACACAGCATGTCATGAGTAAAATTTCTTCTTCATCTACTACATGTAGCGTACAGTGCATGAGACTGTTAAATATTGATAATAATTTTGAATCTGCTGTGTTCCAGATCCGTGGCATGGGTCTGGTGGTGGTGCGGGACAGTAAGGTGATGGGACTCCACTGTTCAGGAGCTGAGCTTCACGCAGGACAGGCAGCCATTATCCAACATGGCCCCCGCTTGGCTGACTGTCAGCTGTACTTCTCTAGGAGACCCTGTGCTACCTGCCTCAAGATGATCATCAACGGTGAGGGCAGGACTGACAGAGAGTGCTTTATGACACTGTCGTTATCACAGTGTACAGTTTTTTTTTAAATCTCCACCTCCAGAACAAGGCGATGTGGTGCAACCCATTTTAATACAGTGATGCAATATCAATAAATCACCTTCCTAAATGCTCTTTTGACTTTGTTAGACTTTGTCACCAAATATCATCATGTATAGGAATTTGACAGGCATTTACTTTTACTTTCCCCTATTTAAATCAATGATGTTGTTACAATCGTCCTGACTTTCATTAGACTTTAAAACACATCATTTCTGACTTCACTCCACTGAGCAAGGTTAACTAGAAAATGATGCTGATGATGATGCTGTTGGCTCTTCTCCAGCTGGAGTCAGTCAGATCTCTTTCTGGCCCGGAGACCCTGAGGTCAGCATGCTGAGGTCCGCCTCTACAAACCCGTCGAACTCCTCCCACTCCCACAGTCCACCTGGCCGCATCACGGAGGAGGCGGCGCTGGACGCTGTGGCGACAGAGAAGCTGAAGTCCAACAGCCGCCCTCACATCTGTGTCCTGCTGCAGCCGCTGGTGCCCGGCCTGGCACAGTTTGTCAGCGAGACGTCCAGAGAGTGTGATTTCATGGAAAGAGTGACTGATGACGAACCAGGGCTGAACGCAGAGGAACTCTTCAACGGGTACCCTACATACATACCAGCACTAATTAGAAGAAAATACCAAGTGATGCTTTTCCTTTTTAAGTCATTGTTGCTGTCTTGACACCTACATCCAAGGGCGTAGCTTTGGTTTCATGGCTTCTTTCATCCGTATTTTGGCAGTTAGACAGAACAGAGACTCTGTTAGTGAGTAAATCAAACTAAAACCATAAAACTGCTGCAGGGCAAAAATAGGATTTTGAAAAGTGAAGAGTACATGTCCTGCTCTCAGTGGAAATTACATATTTCCTTTAATCAGTGAAGCAAACGTTAAATATGCTAAAAAAAAAAATTCATCTGCAACAAAATATGCTCATTGACTAAAATATGTATCAAGTGAGACTGGAGTCCTTTGAAGTTCTTTGAAACCAACTGCATGACTAAATCATACAATCTGCATATCAGCTCTTAAAAAAAAAAAAGTATCTGTGTTGCATATAAATTGGAGAAATTCTTCGCACTCTCCAGAGATCGAACGAAGCACCTGAAGGATTTCTCCCGACAGTTTCTGGTCGGGACATCGCAGCAGCACCGGGAGATCTTGACACAAATGGGTCTGGAGAACTTCTGCGTGGAGCCCTACTTCTCAAACCTGAGGAACAACATGAGGCAGCTGGTGGAGGTTCTGGCCGCGGTGGCCGCCGGGATGCCGCTTCGACACTACAGATTCTACGGGTTGGAAACACTCTTTAAATCACAGCTCTTACTGTTGCGGACGTTTTAGCCATCCGCTGTTGTTATTTGTTGCTGATTGTGTTGTTTCTGTGACTCAGGGAACAGTGTTCAGCCACTGAGCCATCACCGGCCTCACTGCCCCCTTCTCCTCCTCATGAAGTAGTATCCCAAGAAGTGGCTCGCCATTGCATTATCCAAGCCAGACTGCTGGCCTACAGAACAGGTCTGCTTGCTTTTTGTGTTTGTCACAGAAGTCAAGGTGGATGCAGGATACGAGACTTGCTTCCTGTTTCAGGTCAGACTGAACAAGAAGAGGTAAAAACAGACCGGAAACCATTTATCTTCAAATCTGTCAGCAAGAATAATAAACAAATCAAACGATCTGTTTTCAGATAGATGAAGTGATGAGTAATAATGCGTTCGTCAAAGCTGCCGGAACATTCAAGTTTGGCTGGATGACAGTTTAAGTGCTCGATCGACATTCTAGCTTCAGCATTTTAGCCTGAGGAAGCCTGACAGATATTCCTAGATAAACCAAAGATAAACCAACGACAGATTTGTGTGTGTCAGGAGTAAAGAAGCCAAGACTCTCGAGTCTTCTTGAAACTAAGGGCTGAGGCAACAGATGCAAGCCTGTAGGACATTTTCCTGATTGACAGGCTTAAAGGTCACAATCATTTTAAATATTGTTCTTGTCAGCGTTGACATTTGTCAGCAGATTCTGAAACTGTCATTTTCATTCCAGAGGACCCCAAAGTGGGTGTGGGTGCTGTTATCTGGGCCAAAGCACACACGGTGAGCTCACCTTTCTCACCTCTGCTTCGATTTGACTATTTCATATCCACTGCAGAATTATTATACATCTGTTCTCGTCATGTAAAGCGTTAGATGAGAATATCAGTAGCTCTTAGCTTAGTTTAGCGTAAAGACTGAAAGCAGAGGGAAACAGCTAGACTGGCTTAAAAATAAAAAATCCACCTTTAAAAGAAATAGTTCCAGCACATGTCTCCTGACAAAACATTGACTGTTTTGAACTCTCTTGTTCAAGGCTGGCTGCGACGGAACGGGGCGCCTGTACCTGGCGGGTTGCGGGTACAACGCTTACCCAGCAGGCTCCAAGTACGCCGAGTACCCACAGATGGACAACAAGCAGGAGGACCGGCAGAGACGCAAATACAGATTCATTGTCCACGCAGAGCAGAACGCCCTCACCTTCAGGTCAGAGTCTGTCCCTTTACACAGTGGAGGAGGATGATAATGTGAAAAGCGTCTTTATCTGCGCTGCTCTTATTATTTTGAACAATTTTTTTTTAAAAACTGATGGTGAGCAGTGTTTTGACGGACAGCGTTCTCCCTGACGCCTTCAGGACTCGAGAATTCAAAGCGGGGGAGCCCACCATCCTGTTCGTAACCAAGTGTCCGTGTGACGAGTGCGTCCCTCTGATCAGGGGAGCCGGCATCACACACATCTACACCACCGACCAGGACAGGGACAAAGACAAGGGAGACATTTCCTACATGAGGTTCAGCAGCATGAAGGACGTCAACAAGTTCATAGTGAGCACACGGAGGGAGGGAGGGAGGGAGGGAGGGAGGGAGGAAAAAATTTAATGAAGGCTTTTTTTCTTTTTTTTTTCCTTTTCCTATTTTATGTTGTTACATGCTGATTTACAGATATGTATATATTTGTATATACTAAAGCAAAAATTAGCCACCATCCGTCGAGACAGATTCTATGTGGTAATTTATTCTGTTGTTCATACGTTGACTCAGCAGCTTGCAGGGTGTGTTGCTGCTGGTGCCTTTGAAGAGAGTAGATAAGACTCCTTAGATTTCACCACCTTGAAGAATCTGACATTTCTCTCTTCACAGTGGCAGAGGAGCCCTTCAGATTGCTCGGTGTCCTTTCCTCAAGTTGCCAGTAAGTTCCAACTTATTATCTTTAAATGTGGCTTTTTTTTTTTTTTTTGTCCCTGCACAGATAAACTGTGAAGTGGGGTTACACATGAGAGAAATGACGTTGCAGTTTAACAGTAGTATTTTCTTCTTCTTCTTCTTCTTCTTCTTCTTCTTCTTCTTCCAGACGGTTGTGTCGGGAAGCACAACAGACAGACCGAGCGGGAGAGCCACAGCAGCAAGAAGCTGCGCATCAACAGATCCCATGACTTACCTTCTGTCAGCTGAGCATCGCACCTGCGCAGACGGACAGTTGGATAAATGGAGAAACCAAAAAAAACTACAGAATCGTGTTTTTAGATTAGATATTTTACGGTTGCTGCTCAAATTCATTTGAGATCAAATCTGTGCCTGCACAGAATCTTCCGTTACTTTATTTGCCCTTAAATGCAGCTGCTGCATGTTTGTTTCATACAACGCTGACTGAGTGGTACGACCTAAATCTAAAATGTGATATTTTAACTGCCATAGGCTGCTCTATGGAGGAATTGTTAGTCCAATCCAAGTCATTAAGAAGTGATTGGCAGTGAGTAAAAGAGGTACAAAATGGAAGGAAGGGACGGATGGACGGATCAGTGATGGACAAGGTAAAGAATGTGCGGACACTATTTTTGAATGAAGGAAAACAGTACAAACTATGGAACTTTATTTTTTTATGTTACATTACATTCAGGAAGTGTTCAGACCCCTTTGGATGACAATGACCAAGTGAAAACTTGTGAATTTTTGACAAAGTGAAGTATTCAGACCGTTTGCTTTGACACTTGACATTTAGCTCCAGGTTAGCTCGTTTCTGTCCTTAGCTCTGCAGGCAGCTCCTCCTCCTCATGACTCGGTTTTTTATGAGAGACTTTATTTTACTTTATTTTCCTAATCATGTCCAATCAGCTGAATGAAAGAATCAAGGTGTAGAAACATCTCAAGACATGATCAAGAGAAAATAGAGTGTCTGAATACTTTTGTCAATGCGATATTTCAGTTTTTCCTTTTCAATAAATTGTTTTTAAATTTTTAGCATCAGGCTGCAACATAAAACCTGAAAGAAACTGAAGTGGTCTGAACACTTTGTGAATGCTCTGTAAATGGTGAATAGTTTATTTAAACGGTATGAGGTATTGGGATATAAGGACAGCCATACTGTGTGTGTGTGTGCGTGCGTGCGTGTGTGTGCTAACACTGCACCATCTCTCCATGCATGTGTACACCTGGTGGGTGGTTGCTTGGTAAAATGTTTTAAAGCTGCACGGCTTTTAATTTAGGTTTTTATGATGAAACTGTTCTAAATAGGATTTTGCACTAGGTTTGGATTTCAAGTTTGAAAGAAATCAAGATATTTATAGTAGAGAAAGACAAAGAACATTATCACTGGCAGCAAAGAAGCAACACACTGATAAACAGGTGTTCGCTAAACTGCCACATGAAGCAGCTTTAAGAAAGGAGATGGTTGGTTACACAGTTCGACCATTGTGTCACTATTACAATTTATTTATCTACAACTCTGAAGAATTACCTTTAACTTTTTGCACAAGGATCTATTCTCTTTGTATTGTACGTCAGATCTTTTTTCTGTTGGTATTTACGTTGTTAAAGTGTTTCTATAAAATATATGGAGACCATTCAGTATGATCCTGGAAAAAAACCCTCAGCCTTTGTAGGTACACATCTTAACTACTGGCATTTAAGGAAAAAATGAAAATAAAATTCTTATAATAGAAAATATACGAGGTTTGTTTGGAAGAGTGAAATTATTGACATCAGTAAAAATGACAAACGAGCACTCACACAGAACGTCTGCATTCCCATCCTTTTATTTTGCTGCGAATGTGGTACAGTAGCATCCATGTGGAAAATAAGGTGGCTGCTCTTCGTTGAGCGCATTGGGAAGAAAAATGTGGAGCTTTCTGCTTGAACCGTAGTTGTAAAACAGGCCAAGACAAAAAAAATAAAATTAAAAAAAAAACAACAAAGAATTCATTGAGTTTGGCTCAAGTGACACATGTGATGTAAAACTGGTCAGTCTACATTTGCATCTCATGTTTTATTCTGATATAGTATAAATACTGTCACAGCTTTTAACATCCAAAGTAGCTGGCATTTTTTATTTTTCAACCAAAAAGAAAAAACAAAGACAACTTCTATTTTTTTCTCCCATTTTTTTTTTAAAGCAAAATTGCACTTTACATGTTTACGATTGTTAGTCACCCTACTGTACTGTACTACTTCTTTTATTTCTGTTTGATTCACTTTATTTAACACGAGACGGCTATGAGTTTGAAATTTACTGCTGCTTATTTCAAAACTTCAATAGAAGCGCAAAGTAACCTAACGATGCCGATCAAATATTGATTAGAAAATAAATTCTGAATTTTACTGACTTAGAAAATGGAAAAATGGTCATTTTTCATTTCCAGCTCAAATATAAAACCAACAGTGTTTTTAAAAGTGTTTAATCCTCGCTGATTTTGCACATTTCAACTACATGTGCATTTTTCACAGTTACATTTCACCATTGAATCCTGTTACAGATCAACTTTGGCCTCACACGTTTTCAACACAATTCCCAAATGACTTTTTACAGCTTGTAATCCACATATTGAATTAGTGCTACTATGGCGACAAACTGGTTGTGACTCCGTACACAATGGCAACCGATCAGCTGCAAAAAGTTTCAAATGTGTATTTGACAGCGTAACTCAAATATAGTGAGTTAAGAGGTTCACTGCTTAATCGCAACAAATATGTTCCATCCAGAGCATATTTTCATCATCATAATTAAGCTCCCCCTAGAAAGATAATGAAAGTACAAAAAAAAGAGAAGAGAAGAAGTAGGGAAAACACACCAAACCAAAAAGGCACCTCTGAATCTTCTCTCCCGTTTCTTTTCTAACGCCGACATCAGATCCAAATCAGAGCGACACAGAACAAAAAAGAAAAAGAAAAACACAAAGCGCCGTCTTCACAGCTGCTCTCCTCTCTCGACGAGGGGCTCCCGCCTCACAGCAAAGTGCCTCCTTGTTCATGTTCACATTCACAATGGCAGGCACTCACCTCAGGTGTACAAACCATAAACTGTACAAGACAAGAAATGAAACTATATGTAAAAAAAAAAAAAAAAAAAATACCATCAAGCAGTGTGAAAACGGTGATCAACAAAAGAAAAAAAAACATTTGAATCATCATATTATTTTTTTATCATACAGAAAGTGCTATCAGCTACCAGCAAAGAGAACCAGTGATCAAAATGATTGAAGCTTACTGTACCGATAGCAGCCCATTCAATTACAAAGGCTCTTCATTTCAACGACTTAAAATATGCTCACAACTACTATTTTTCGTTGGCAAGCTGTGGTCAACAGTGACTGAAACCAACCGTCTCAAAAACACTTCTATTCTCAGTCTTACTGGAGCTAACTGAGTTCATTAGATTGGCACGGGCGGATGCTCCTGAAGCTTATAAAATTATATTTAACTGGAAAGAGTTGGCGTCGCACATTTAACAACAAACTGCTGCATGTTAAACTAGTTCAGATTAAGCCTCTCAAACTGCAGGATCACACTGAGAAAATCTAATTATGTCCAGCCAGAGCCGGTTTAACCTCCTAAAAATCTTTGTGATCTTGTAAAGCAGTTTTCATAGTTAAATCAGCCTTTATATAATGTGCAGCGCGTCCCCAGCTTCAGAGAAATGCTTCATCACTAATTAGCTACAACATTAACTTTTTGGAAGACGAGACTTGTTCTGTTTCAGTGTGAAGTTCAAGTCTGATGATGCTTTTTAGCTGTAGATTGAGAAAACTTCAGCAATCATTAGATTTGGCAGCACAAAAACAAACAGACTGAGAATGTGTTTCACACTTAAGATGCTCTCATCCCAACCAGACATGTTGACCCAGCTAATAGGAAAAAAAAAAAAAAAAGCAGAAATTCTTCATTATTTTTCTGATTTGCAGCTACTTCATTTAAACAGAGATTAACTCGTGCGCAGCGACGGTGATTAAAAATACAAAAATGGTCACGTCTGTTTGTTCGACAGCCACTCGACCATTCTGGCCAAAGCTTTTGAACCGCTGGTTCTCCTGACAAAAAAAAAAAAGCAAATCAGCTGCCTCCAACACCATGAGTTGTGGCACTACATGCTACAGATGAAAAAAAAACAGAGATTTCATGAAAAAAATTTACAAAAGATCAGTGATTGAGAACTACTCTTGCACAAGTTTTTAATGACCCAACAAAGAGAAAAAAAAAAAGACAAATAACGTCTTGAAGATTTTTTTTTTTTTTTAAATAGAATAACCATCATTGTTAATGTGTTTTTTTTCTATGTGTTCTTATTGATAAAAAGTTGGGGTAGAGGGAAGGGGAGGGGAGCTTCTCTAGGAGGCCGGTTTCTTCAGATCCCTGATCTGTTTGATTAGGTACGTCTTCTCGTCGTTGAACTGCTCGTCGTCCGCGCGGTCCTTCTGGAAGTTGCTCAGGAAGTCGATGAGCTTGGTCTGGTTCTTGAGCAGGATGTCGATGATGGGCTGCGTCTTGTTGGGGTTCGCTACAAACACCTGAAAATAGACGTGTTTGCTTGCATCAGATCTCACCTACATTTATAATACACCTCTGCTGTTTTGCAGATGGGAAAACATTGTGTTTTCTGTATTGGCTTCGGTTTGGGCCTTTGGACATCAGCTCATAGACTTTGTAATAAGCCCGTATGACAGTTAATCTATAGATTTAGATTTAGAGTATGCACAGAGACAGGAAAAGACACACACTGCCTGTCTGACATCATTCAGTGTCATGTCAGTCCTGCATGTTACAGTCAAGTCAAAGTAAAACTGCAGCTACACAGACACTCACTTCAGGGTAATTCATTACTTGTATTCTGCTGTGCGGCGTGCATGAGCGAGGCGTTTATTTACCTTAAACACATGGAAGGCCTCAAACTGGATGTTGGGACTCTTGTCTCTGAGCAGATTCATCATCAGCTTGAGATTCTCAGGCTTGCTGATGTAGCGCGTCATCACCGTGAAGTTATGTCTGTCCAGTAACAGCTCGCCCAGAAGCTGCAGGAGAGATTTTTTAGAACAATATGACAAGTAAGGATATATTAGAGAAGTTATTGTCTCTTGGCTAGAAGTGTATATTTAGGCTTGATGCTGGTGTCAGGAGACAAACTGTGGTATAGACAGACAGACTGAATGATGTTAAAGGTATCTGTTTACAGCAATGGTGGCTAAGACTTAAGGTGTTGGAAGTCTGCAGTTCTTTTTTAGTTTTGTTCAAGCTTTGGAAATAAGACGGTGGAGAGAGGAGTGAGTGGACAGCTCCCTCTGTTGGCCCAGGGAGGGTGTAAACTGGGACCCTGACTAAACAGAAGGAGCTGGCGCCATGGCAACAAACAAACAATCCCTCACTGGCTTCCCACACACAAACACAGCTGTCCAAAAAAACACAGCCAAAGCTCCGGTGAACCAAGGTCACAAAGACAAATCAATACGTGAGTCAGGGCCAAACCTTTAGGGACTGCCTCTTGGTGACGTAGTTCTCGGAGTGCAGCAGCTTCTCATAGTCTGCAAACACCTGCAACGACATAACAAACACACCTTATTCAACATTATTAACCGTCTGAATTAGAATTGGACACTTTTGACGTGTGTGTAGTTCAACATGTCAAGTCCGCCTGCGTTTTTGGATACCTCTCCCTTTGCCTCCAAGGAAAACTAGCCATTTTTAAAAACACATGCAGTTTTACACGAGGAATGGAGGAGTGGGAGAAGTCAACCCTTTCTTCCATGTCATCTTAAAACTTTCAAAATAAACCCCAAGCTCTGCCAAGTACCTTTATCTCAGAGCAGAACTTGAGCCATGATCCTGTACAAGAGGTGTTCATCATCCTTAAGTACCATAACCACAATTATTAGTAGTTTGTTTGTGTGTGTCATGGAGCCTGAAACTAACTTGTGTGGCTCTAAATTTACATGGGCAGGTCACCAAAGTCTAATCAATGTGCTGTGTTTCAGCTCAGCTTTGTCACAGGCTCCTGGATCACATCGGCTCTACCGGGCCAACGCGCCACGTCGTCTCCCGACAGGCGCCACAGTGACGCACAGATATCTGTCAACATACAACATGCATGTGAAAAAGGTACTTTTGTGTTCAGTTTCTTCAGGCTGGTCCACCCCCCCACCCCCCCTCCCCTACCTATGAAAGGGACCCCTCTGCCTTGGGAAGCTGACAGCATAGAGCAGAGCTTTGTATCTAGTGACGTGACGTGGCGTTGTGACACTGACAGGACTTTCCAGGGATTCACTTTTCCTGGAACTTTAAGTGGATTAGTCAGAACTTTATTTCTTACTCTCACATATCTGCCCTCTTTTCCAGCTTATTCAATAGACCCTCACAAGGCCTGTGTGTGACCAGCGTGTTCAACGAGACAAACCTTTTTTTTTTTTGGGATACATGACTGGGCCATTGAGCGCCGCAGTGACTGACACCTGATCTGGTTACATGCTGTATGTATCTGTGTATGTTTCCTCTCTGGGGCTCTTCCTGGTCAAGCAGTCAGGACGGTGTTTATGTTTTTACGCTTCCAAATAGATGTTGCGTGACCTGAGCGGGAGGCAGGGTGTGTTGCATTGATGTGGTTTACGGGTGGAGGGGGGAAGGCACGATGCAAACATCAGAGGCTTAAATAGTTCCACCTGGTAACACTGGTTCAAAATAACATGGCAAACTTGCATTGACATGTGTGGCAGCTATTACAGTCTTCCTTCATGTGTTTTCCAGGCCGATCCTCTCTGAGGGCTGAGCTACGGTGTTGGGAAATGTGTGTGCGAGTCGGTCCACTCACAGCATCGTAGTTCTGTTCGAGGTATTCAGCCACAAGCACTTTGTGTCTTGTCAGGAGATCCTGCGAAAGAAGAAATAAATCTATCAGGTAATATATACTTTATATTATGTAGTTCTCTGTGCTCTATCACCTACAACAGCTTCTTTCTGTGTTCTATTTTTAACTCGTCAACTAAACCATTAGACGAGGGTCTTATCTCGCCAGTATCAGTAATGGATTTATCTTCTTGTCCAATTTTTAAAGATGTAATTATATATTTATTTGTTGGGAATGATGCTTAGTGATCAACAGGAAAAAGAACTGTAAGGGATTTATCATATCAAACCTGCCTCATCCTAACCCACCTTAAAGCGTGGTTCACCCAAATAAAAGAAAACAGTATCTCACCATGCAGATCGTTTTGGTTTAACTTGGCTTTAAGATATCAGTCTAAGATTTTTGTATCCGCCCCAGGTTTTAACTGGGAATAAAAATGTCCCAAAAAAGCCATAAAATGTTGAAAACTGGCGCAAAATATTGGCTGATTCCAACCGATATCAGTCAAATTCCAACTGAGGTACCTTGAAGGTGGCGAAGGCGTCAGAGGCGATGTCGAAGGTGGACATCTCCACGTAGTTGAAGAAACTGTGGAAATGATCGGAGTGGAGAACTATCTTGGCGAGCGGCTCGTGGCGGATGCACTCCCTCAGCATGATCCCGCAATTCAACGCTACCTGGGGCGTCTCGTACCTTCAAGCAGAGACGAGAGGATTTGTGTCACCTCATTGGAAGCCGTCAGACTGTGGACAGCATGTGTGTGTGCGTGTGTGTATGGGTGTGTCTCACCCTTTCAGCAGTATAAAGAGGACCTCTTGGTGGGAACAGAAGTATTCGACAGTGGGGCTCCTCGTCCCGATCTGCCTCCTCAGGATGTTGTTGAAGATCTGACACACATCCTTCTTCCCCTAGAAACACACACACACATAAAGTCTCAAGTAACAAATCGACAGCATTTATTGGTATTTTCCCCATCGTGTTTCTATGGCAGCTTAATCATGAGAGGCGTCATGCTCATGATGCTGCAGGAGCGACTCACAAAGAGCCTTCTCTCCTCACCTCAAAGTCTATGACCTGCAGGTTTTCTACCAGCGATATCAGCAGGCCGCTGTTGTACAGCTCCTGGGCCAGCTGGGCCACAGTCTCGGTGTGGGGCTCCTTATCGTTGCTCCCGTACAGAATCTCCTTCATGGACACCAAGCACTTGGACACCTCCTCAGACGCCTGCGGGACAGAGCGGAGGAGTGGGAGAAGAAAGGGGAGGAGAGGTGGAGTTGAATAGGTTAGATTAGGAGTCGTGGTAGTGGAGGTGGAAGAAGGAGAAAGCTGCAACTGACTTGAGCCTCAGCTTGGCTAGTTTTGTGTTTGCGTGTGTGTGCACTTGTGAGAGAGAGTACACTCTCTTGACAGTGAAGTGTCAGGAGATGACAGGGCCAGGCTGTTCCATGCTCTAATTTCACAGAGGGCTGTCACCCCCGGGCCCCTCGACACCAAGGCAGTTACTTACACACACACACAGAGAAACACACTGTCTTTCTCTACCTTGTCTGTCTTCTTATCCTGCTTGACTAGGATGGCCAGGTTTTCCTTCAGGGTCCTGACGATGTCAGCCGGACTCTTGTGGGATTTACCGAACAGCGGCATGATGGACACAAAGTGGCCTTGGGACCTGGGAAACAAACAGACACACACAGCATATTGAAAGAGCAGTCGGTGATGACGTGTTTGCAATAAAAAAATAATCAGTATCATTTTCATATGAGTAGGATATGTCGGTTTTTCTTTCCTCAGCTCTGTAGTCAGTTCATGACAAAGGGACTTCTGCTTCCTAACATTTATGTGACATTTAGCAGCTCACCAGCTTGTGTAGCATACAAAGTAATGGAGGAAAGCCTCATACTAACTAACACAGGCATCAATATTTAATGAGTTTTCAAAATTCTGCTAGCATTTTATCAACCAAAATGTTTTTTTATAACATTAACAAACTTTTTTGATCAGGATGCCTCAAATTTAATCATTTAAAATTTGACATTTCACTGTTAAAAATGAACAGTGCAGAGCAGAAAACAGCAAAAATGAAGTTAATACAAAAGTCAAAAATATCCCATCAGGCAAATGAGCAGTAATTCATCAGTCGTGAAGAATTCCTGGAACGGGTGGATTTTTAAACCTCTGTTCTGTCTTCATCCAGCTGGTGTGACAACTCAACAAAAGGCCGCTGAGAGAGAAATAAGGAGATGACGTGTGTGTGTTTGTGTTTCAGGATTCCTCCACCACCTCAGAGACAAATTCCAAAGTAATCTCCGGTCTGCATGAGCGACAACTTCGGCCCCTCTGACACCCGTCTTCATATAATCAAAGTCATAGTCAATATATTAGATAGTTACGTAACGGCAGACACAACGGAGGGGTTTGTTGGGATTGTCTGCTTCCAACAAACCTCAAAACCAAAATATGTTTCTGAATACAGAGGGAGGCAGAAATAGACCCTGCAGTTACAGAACGCTTAGAGAGAGAGAGAGAGAGAGTCGGAGGTACTCTGCCGCATCTCGGTCCAGTTACCGTCCATACTTTAAACTTCATCCTCAAGGATGTACTCATGCTTTTCACGGCTTATTATAAAGGAGAATGTGACAAAATGGGCTTAACTGAGAGTAAGTGGATACACTCACTCCACAGATCCACAGGTCAGTCAATAACTAACCGTGGATCAGCTCAGCAGCAAAACTGAGTCAAGATCTGAGGTAGTCCAGGCCCCATTTGATACTGTCTTGACTGTATGTGATGCATGTAATTGAGTTTTGCTCATTGCATAATATCCGTGCAGGCCTCGGGTTGTATTTTGCCCTGGTACTGTCAGAATGTCACGGACTGTTTGGGCATCAACAGTTAAGAAGGTGCCAGTAGATGCACAGGAGGTTAGTACAGTGTTCTGTTGCAGCCACATTATGGATATACTGATAGTGATGGGTGAGCCCAAGGTCTGGCAATGTTAGTCCTGTACCACCAGAGCTGCACGTGCTCATTAAAGTCTGTCACTGCAGGTTTAACTTTGTCGACGGCATAAACCCAAACAGAGAGATTTTGGTTTACTCTCTGACTGAGTGTGTGAGCGGTTAAAAGGAATCAGGAAGCAGCAGTGGCCCTCACAATCCAGGCCGGGTCAGGAACAGGCAGAAAACTTGTGACTGCTAATCCTCATCTGGGAATGTAAAAAGGGCATTACCCCCCCCCCAACTCTAACTCCCACCTTCATTCCTCTCCATCCAGCTCTGCTACTGTTCCTCCCTCCATCCACCGTCCGTCGGTTGTGATTGATGGAAGAGTAATGCTAAATCACTTGGCACACAAACTGAAGGAGTGATCAAAGTTGAGTTGGGGAGCTTTGTATCCTTTATAATCGGCGATGGCGACCTCGCACAGAGTCGGAGCCAATCAATATTGCATTGCAGTTGCTCGCATCTGAACTCCTGCCGCTCGCTTGTTATTCTTGACGGGTTTTGTCATGAAAATGCTCTGATGGCAAACGTGTCATCAGCTTCCCTGGCAGAGTCAAATATTATCAACTTATCCACTCGTAACAAGATAACAGCTGCAGAATCGGGAAGAAATGAAGGTAGCTGTTAATTAAAGTTCAAAACAATAAAAAGCATTCATTTGTGAAATTACATAAGTGGTTCTTCAACACCCGCAAAAACAAGAAAACAGCTCGAATTGGAATCACAAGGTTTTCACCTGACAAAGACAAAAACTGAGCTCAGCGCCTCAACACTGACTCACAGTGTTCAACCTTTTAATTTGGCCGTGGAGGATTGATTTAAAGGTTTTAATTATAATTCTCTCTGCTGTGGTTGAGCGTCATCTTTTACCAAATGAGCCAGCTTTTCTTTTTTTTTTTTGTGTGTGTTATGTTGATGTTTTTTTTCTTTTTATGCGTTTATTCTGACAGAGACAATGGCATCGGTCAGAGGGAAGGCTGCTGATTCACATTTAGCAAATGAAATCACATGGAAGAAGATGACTGATTCACGCACACACACACACACACACACCATCAGAAGGTCAGACTGAACTTGAGGAGCTAATTTGCTAAGACAGAAAAGATCCATCAATAAATTGGTGAGACCTCTTCCTCTTTGTTCTCAATGTGACCAAATGCTTGTTCAGATCTTACAAAAATACAACTTTCAGGTGTGAGACTTCCCAATAAAAAAATATAATAAGGCTCCTTCTGTTTCTTCATCACATTATGTTACAACTAGCCCAGTCAATATTTGTTAAAGGCTTAACAGGCAATGAGGAAGTATTTATCAAAAGAAGGGACCTGCTCTTTCACAAGCTTTCCTGCTTTTTTTTTTTTTTCATCCACTCATGTACAGGCTCCTGTGTCGCTTCTGAGTCCAACATTTCCCCTCTGTCGTCCGGCCTCGTCGCTGCAGCTGTGACTAAACGTTTCGGATTATTAAAGAATACTCAAAGGGTCCGGTTTAATCATCTAATAACACGTCTTTGAGTCCTGGACAGCTTAAGCTCCAGGTTACTGTGAAGCCTTCATTTTCACTTGGAGCCTACTTAAGACTGACTAAATGTTATGTAATGGAATTAATCTGGTGCCCACTGGGCTTGAACGCACACAGCTAGCTGCTCCGCTTCACTATAATCTAACAGGGAAAGGCTCCACACGGCCCTGAATATTCATTTTCCTGCTGTAATCATGGCACTAAACAAGCTTTAAATACACATATACAGAATAAAGCCAATTTCTATCTGATTATAAAGAATAATTTCACTCTTTAATTTCAAGCAGTAAATCCTTTTTTAATTAGTTTTTCCTAGAAAGAAAACTTTCTGCTTTGTGTTTAATAATTGTTTTGTATATTTGTTACTGCAAGGATTAATTAATTAACAAAATATTCAAATTTTCTGTTAACTGACTAATCAATTAATGGGATAATATTTCAGCTCTAATCTCAGGGCTTCCTGTTGGTGTAAAAGAAAAACTATATTCAGTTTATAAAGGCAAATGTCATGAAACCATTTTCAAATAAGCTACTACTAAATTTCAAGTATTAAATACAGGTATCAAGCTTTTATTTTACAATTCATAGCTACAAAATGCTGCAGCTACAACTAATGATCAATTTCTCAATTAGTAGCAGTTTGTCTATAAAAAAAAAAAAAGTCGGAAAATTGCGAAAACTGGTCTTCACGCTTTCCTAAAGCCAAAAATAACTTCTTCCAGCCAACAGTCTAAAACCAATTGACACTCACTTCGCTATCAGAAGCAAATCTTCACTTCTGAGGGTTTTGAAGTAAATATTATTTGGCGCTTTTGCCTGAAAAATGACTTAATTAGTGATTACCCTTCTGTCAACGGACTGAATGATTGTTTCAGCTCTACAAAAAAATCCCCATATCACATGCTCAGGAGGTTATCGGCCTCCTCGCTTATCAGAATATTCAGCGTAGATTCCTTTAGCACAGACTGACGACATGTTTCAGATGGCAGCAGACTCCTCCTGGATTATCTGTGGTGCGACCTTTGCTGTGACATATGGGCCTGATGTAAAAGCAGACATCTGAAAGAAAATACCCTTCACTTTCATGCGCTGAACAGTCGCTCAACATGTTGTCAATAATTCAAGCCGTCCTACACGACATGCTCTGGAGCTGCTTGACTGAACATAAACATGACTATTCCAATATTGTACTCATACCTTTAAAGTAAACATTCTCCACCTGCAATAAATTTATGAATGACCAATAAAGCTACATAGGCCAGGCCCACTGCCCTCATCAAACACTTAACGTAAGTGTGTTAAATGCAATCTGTACAGTAGTGGGTGGATTTGATGACTAATCCAGTGTCATTCCAGCGAAGCGAGATAGCGATCCATGACAGGAGCCTTAGAGCTAACGTAGCAAGATAGTGATGCATCACACCTACATGCCAGTCAGCCAGCAGTAGTAGTGACTCCAGATGTCACACTGGCTCATGGCTCAACTTGTCATGTAATGCAAAACGCTCCTCAAACCACGACTCCTGCGTCAGATTACATGTCTTCAGTTATATTCAAATTCAAAGTGGAAATATCCAGATAGTTTCTAAGCACCCCATGTGAAATATTCAACAATGTGATGAATGTACTGCCTATTCAAAGAAGAAGAAGAAGAAAGGTGGCTGCCTCTGATTGGACAGCACTTCTTCTCGACAGTCAGGATCGCAGACATTCATGATGCACTGTAACGCATACAACTGGAATTTAGGTATTCAAGGAGGAGCGAGGAGGATTATTTAACCCTCGAACACTCACTCGCTCTCTCAGTATAAATCATTACTGTTAGTATATGATATACTGATATCAGATATGACTTTTTTTCTAGGAGTGTGTCAAAGTGAAACCAATTTAATGATGCTGAATAAAAACATTTTGAGCACTTTTTAAATCAAAGGCCTTTAGGTTCCACTTGATAGCACTTGAATTGAAGTAATCAGACTCAAAATCTCAAAGTCAGGAAATACACCCAGACAGAGAAATGAGAACAGATGATGCTACATCACAGCCCATCTCAAACTACAAAGAGGCCTTCTCAAGTGCAGGCGTTCACAAGCAGATTGTCCTCTCCGAGGCAACCTGGAAGGAACGCTCCCTGAAAAGGACAAACATCAGCTCATCAAGTGCATTCTGGAGATTGATAATGATGTGAGAAGCCCCCCCCCCCTCCCTTTTTAACTTTGTCTGGAAAAGAAATGTCGAGCCCTGATGCCTGCCTGTGTTGGATGCACTTCACTGAAGCGTAAAGAAACAATTCAGTTATGGCCTCATGTATGTCCATCTGCTTTGATAAACAGTATCATTGGCTGAGGATGACACTCCAGGTATACAAAGGCTATCAGATGGATGAAAAAACTTTTAGGCCCTTTGTTAAGTCTGACAGGCAAGTCTTCCGTCCAAATCCACCTCCTGTGCTACAGCATTATGGCAGACACCAACTCCAACCACAGCTTTCACCCTAACCTGCATATTTGCAATAGTGAGGGGCAGTACTCCGCCTTGGACGCCAAATTCAGGGCAAAAAAAACCTTCTAAACTTCTCTTTTTCAACAGTAGGCTCACACAGACTGACAGACCTGGTTTATAATGTACAAGTTCTCTATCCACTACTAAAAAAAGGTTACTTGTTTAGGACAGTTTGTAGGTTTCTGCAGTTATATGTAGGGTTACTATGGGTTAATATTCTGAACCAGTGACAGACAGGCCTATCCTACCAGCATATGAGAGCCTACTGTATCTGTCTATATGTCAAGGCAAATGGAAGTACATAGAGGAACACAGGATGCTACGTAATGTTGCATACAAAATAAAAGCAGCATCAATTCACTCCAGAATTAATTTAGTCTGAGAAAAACCTATAACACAGCAGACTGAAACTTTCCAATGAAATAAACAGTATTCAGTCATTCTCAAACCCAAATGAATGTAAACCACTCAACCTAACATCCCAGTAATCCATGTGGACATACAATATGACTCTGCACAATATTGCAATACCAGACAGCATACTAGCAAAGACAATAAGGCTGCAGGCAACAATCATTTTCAACTGATTACTCCATGTATTGTTTATTTCAATTAATCAATTATTTGGTTGACAAAATGTAAGAAAACAATGAAAGAATGCCTTTTACAGTTTCCCTGACACCCCAGGTGACATCCTTAAATCGCTTCTTTTGTGCATCCAACAGTTCAAAGATATTAATGTTTCTGTTAAAGGCTTTAATATAACAGACCAAAGGGGCAAATCTTTCCATTTGAAATGCTGGAACCAGAGAATGGTTAACATAATTACTTGGCTATGAATCAGTTATAATTATTGTTGGCAAGTAATTTTCTGGCAGCCGACTAATTGCTTAAATGACTAATCATTTTAGATTTTTTACTGCATATTGCAGTTAAAGTTTGAAAGCTTTTATTTTGAAATATGTGACCGGAAGCCACATTGTTTTCATTCTGGTTAGCCTGACGGTGGTTGTCTAAAGTAACGTAGCAGAGAGGAAAAAAACAAAAACAAAATACACACACTGTATATGCGCTGCTGAAGAATTAAAGACCCCATGAACGACAGTGTTTAGATGAATAAGAGGTTGTGGAGCAGACGGCAGTAAATAGCAGATAAGGCCGCATAAACAGTCCCAGACAATGTGATTTAACACGGCTACACCCCTCTCGCCTCCGGCTAAACTCCCTTTTTGTTTGACAGATTTCCAAAGCTAATCACAGTTGTCTGCATCATTTCAGGAAAAAAAACTGCTGAAAGGGACGTTAGGGCGCTCTCGTGTATCAGCATAACAGACATTTTAATTTGCCAACCCTGACTGAAGTTCTCAAGACTGTCAAGGGCAGTTATATCTCACCATTAGGTTAACTGGAAGCTATTGCTCTTCGACAGTATGGGCTAGAAATGATACTTACAGTGGGAAGATGTTTAGTGGGGTATCTTTAAATGTCTTCACCGCTTCTGTCCCGGTTCACAGCGCAGCCGAGACTCCCAGGTAGCCTTTACTGGTCACGCCAGGGCTGTTTGTTCGCAGGAAAGTCAGCTAAAATGTGAGCGATACAATTTAAAATGTGGGGAATCTGTTAAGAAGGCAGTGCAGAATTCCATCTGGTCGCTTTCCAGCCTTACGTCAAGCCAGTGTGGAGAAACTTTGAAGCTTCCGGTGTAAGGCTTCAGAATAAAACACCCACCAAACCTCATCCGTGTAAACAAACAGAAGAATAAGGAGAAGAAAGGTTAAAGGTCAGGCTAAAATTGACACAACTCTTTTTGATACTGCCTTTATTTATGAATTCAAACCATATTTTTCTTATTCATACACTATCTCGCTGTCACACGGACAAAGTTGCTTTATAGACCATTCGCGTCACTTCCGGTAGTAGTCCGGCTAATGCTTGCCAACTTGACACATCTGTATCTTTCCAGCCGCTGCTGAGTCTCGTTCACATCATCTCATATCAAGTCCTTCATACCGCATTTGTCTCACATGTTACCAAATTATATCTCATAAATACAAAGATAAGTGTGATACGTACATTTAAAATACCTCACGAGATATAATTTACCTTTTCTACGAGCGAGAGGACAAAATAAAGGCGAAAGGAGAGACTGAAGGTCGGATGATAAACTTATTGGAACGAAGCCCAGGCCATATCATGACAGTCTAAACTGGAGAAAGCCCATTGGAGGTTACGTGACACGTGGTTGAAAATACATTTCCGTACAAAAATACATAATTGATAACACTGCCAATGTAACCATGCGTTTTTATGCTGAACGCCAATAATTAAACTAGTAAAAATTGATAATCTATTAAAAACCTTTCTACCTAATATTTACTTTTTCTGTTTAAAGTGTTCCAAAAGCCTACACACACTCACACTGGTCTAATTGACAGTGTTGCCAGCTAAAATGGTAACATTAAAAATTAAAATGAAATAATAGCTTCAATTCCCATTAAAAAAAGGCAACGTCTTATAGAGGAAACCATGTCAGACTTTATTAAAGCTGCTTTTCATTTTACATACAATTCAGAATTACATATTTACAAATATACACAGATATGTCTCATTATAATATCTTTATATCAACACCATACTCAGTAGATATACAATAGGAAAATAAAGACAGTGGTCGCTGCAATGTGCTGCATAAAAAGAAACTAAAAAATATAACCCTTCTCATCTCTCCACCCTCCAAGTAAAAAGTACAAATAATTCAATAAGCTTTATTGTGTGATCATGATCGAACACTGACAAGTTTAGTGCCCATGTCAGCTTTCATTAGAGGGCAGAAAATAAACTCTCACAATATACAACAGTGCCAGGTAAAAAATACTTGCCTTGCTCAGGGCTTTGATATGAGAGGTTTTATGAACAACATGCCACAAAGAGTGATCATAGACAGAGAGACTCACAAAAAAAACAAAATAAAAAACAGGATCCTCTTCACAATACACATGCTCTCGAGGAAAACGATGCGAGGTATAGAGAGGACACATCTGTACAAGTGTAACATACATTTGTCAGTTTTACAGAACTCACATGGATCAACACATAATGCCAGCCACAGTTTACTCTCTGGTTTAGCTCACAGTTTGACACCGAAAGATCTGTAAACTTTTCTTTTTCTGGAGAAGAACCTTTCCTTTCACAGGGAGGACATGCAGTTTGTGATTTAAGTAAAAAAAAATAAATCTTTAAAGTGGTTCTCAACAAAAAGAGCTTAAGAAAAATAATTAAGACCTCTAATCATAGCTGGGACAGAGTTTCAAAACCACAGTGGTGTTAATCATGGCTCTGTTAACCCAGTGTACAAATACAGCTCATTCTTAGTAATGGATGGGTGCGGCTGGTCTTAGTGCAACAGCATGCTGCACTCTGTATCTGTCTGTCAGACATTCAACATCAAGGACGGCAAAAAGGAAGAGATTGTTTTACAGTGCACCTTACAGTAGAAATCTTGGGATATAAAAACCATGTTCACCTTTAAACAAAAAACAAAAAAATACAAGGGAAGGGAAGGAAAAAGGTTGTCATTCAGTGTTCCTTGTGTGTGTGTGTGTGTGTGTGTGTGTGTGTGTGTGTGTGTGTGTGTGTGTGTGTGTGAAGAGGTGTGTCATAGCAGCTGGTTGTGCTATCAACCTGTATCAACATCCTCCTTTCCATTGTGAAACCAGACCAATCAGGGCCAATCAGGGCTCAGCTATGTCACCACCCCTGCTGTGCAATTCACACCGATAGTCAGACTTTTTTTTTTTTTTTTTTTGCACCTTGTGACTCCACTACTACCATAACCCAGCTACATTGCGGTGTCAGGTAAACAGATATTGCTGTCGGTGCAAACATGTTGAGCAGGTCTGGGCCCTGGTTAGCCCTGCTAGCTGAGAAGCGGCTAGTGTCACATGCCTCAGTGGGGCTGGGAGCAGAGGAAGAGGACAAAGCCTGGTTTTGCTGCAGCCCGCAGACAGGTGAGCAGAGTGGCCCTGACACAAAAACACAATACACCGTTACTGTATGTGCACAGAATACTCAGATCTATGTGCATCTGCGTTTGTGGGAGCCTTGGACCACTTTAAAAAAAAAAAAAGAAAAGAAAAAAACCCCAGCAGGTGAATGCATAACACTGATCCCACTATTATCACCACATTACAGCGTAAACAATGCTGTAATTCCTTGTGTATAAATCTGTTTCAACTGGTATTTGTGGTTTAACAGCCTTTCTGAGGGTTTGCGACATAAGCATGTTGGATTTGCGCCCAACAACACGCAACAATGCACACACACATACAGACACACACACATACAGACACACACACACACACACACACACACAGACATTAAGTCGACACAAGCAGGTATGCAGTCGCACCTGCCTGCCCACGCAACTTCTTGGGCTTCCTGAGAGGTAAATCCAGAGCAGTTCAGAGGCGAGTTAGACAATCCCTCTTATCAAAAAAAAAAAGAAAAGAAAAAAAGTTGCTTCAAGCTGCCGCTCGCTTTGTTGGAGAAGTGCAAGACACGTGACCACCAGGTAGGGCTGTTGGTGACATTCACCTAGCGGTGCGTTTGTGTCGCTTAAATTGTAATTAATACCATAAAGCAAGGGTGAAGGGAAGCTCTTAATTAGAAAATGTGGGATGAATACAGCATTCTGCTTTGATACTACAGGGATTTAACACCCTGAATGCATCCCACGTACAAAGTAAAAGAAAGTTTACAAGACTTCCAGTGACTTGCCCTGAACCTGCTCAGTGATGCTCCAAGATGCACTGAAAGCTTTTTTTTTTCTTCTTCTTTTTCTTTTTCTCCTGTTGCAGCCAGCTGCCAGTTTTCACAGTGTACAATTAAATGTCTGACACTAAAGTCGACGTGTTATGTGAAATGCCAGGGCTGATGGTACCTGCGGATGTTTCACACAAAGAATCTATAGCGATGCAGTTATGTCGTCGACTTGAAGGGGTTACACGAGTTTGACACCAGCGGCTTTGGAAAGCTGCCGACACCTTGTATTTAGTGCAGATAATTAGATGCGTCTACTTCCATGCTACATAATCACAAGGCCTGACAGGAGTTGATTGATCACATGCCTTAACATGTCTGTTGAGGAACCATTTTTCCCTGATCTTTTCATTTTATCTGAGTTTTCTGCCTCTGGAATGAAGGATTCTAGCAAAATATGGATGTTTTTGAAGGTAAAAAGAAAATAATTCAAATGAGGGAATAACACTACCCAGTGGAAATAGGCTGTATTTCATTTGCAGATAGGAACAGGTGACTGTAAATACTGGTTTTTGGTCGGATCCGACAAACTGTGAGGTGCGTCTGTGTGATATAAAAAAGGACACTGAGATTCTGTTCTCCTGTCAAGAGTCGGCTTCAGGTTTTTTGTAACTCCACCTGGGAATGGTTGTAGGTGGAGGGATGGGGCGAGGTGGGGGGGGTCAGGGTTTGATGTCAGAAAAGCTGGTGTAGGTCTCACTGCAGCTTGAAGAAGTGCTGAGGTTCCCAGAGACGCTGCCATCTGAAGGACACAACGCACAAACAACATGAATTATTCACCCCAGGCGGACAGCAGCAGCCTTTATATCGTCTTTTAATCTGGACAAAAAATGCCTCGTGCAAACATTTCTATCACATCTACCTGAGCTGCTGAGTGACTGGGATGATTTAGACTCTGAGATGAGGCTGAGGAGGTTCGCCGCTGCCACCCAACCCTCCTTACAGCTGCGGAGGTTCCTCACAAACCTGCAGAGAATTACACAAGCAGTGACTTTACTTAATTATTTCCCACATGTATGATTTTAGAAAGATCTAATGAGCCCGTTTGAAAGCAGGAATCAAACTGTGCCCCCACCCCACCCCACCCCCCCACAGATCAGCTTGCTTTCAGAGCATTTTCTTGTTTTATTCACTGTGATTTACTCTCATTAGAAAAGTAGATATTTACCACTGTCCATCCTCTCCTTCTCTGATTAGCTGGACCACGTCTCCACTCTTGACAGACAGTTCCTGAGGTCCCGCCTTCTCGCAGTCTGCTACCACGGTATACTTTCCTGGAGCCTAAAGGAGGTAAAAGGTCAGTGATGATCCATACAGGAAACTTCAATATATCAATATATGGAAAAAAATTCTCCAGGTTCAAGCTCACCAGCTTCTTTCCTACGTCATCCTCAGGGTCAGAGTTCATGGGGTCCTCGCCGCTGGAGTAGCCGTCATTCTCCTCTGAGGCGTCCGCGGAGAGAGACGCCTTGCTCCAGCCTGCAGGTGGGTGGTAGTGACGGTGGTAAATTACCAAAAGCTTTTCTATCATAGTGTGACATATCCAATCCATTTGCACACACACTCCAAAACACACACACGCCAGCCCAAACTCAATCCCAGCGAGGATCAATGGAGACAGACAGACCCAAGTAAAACATCAACCAGACCAACAAAACAAAAATCACCGATTCCTGATCAGAGGAAACGGATTTGATTCATTTCAAAGGTGCTCTGACTGAAGTTATTTAAAGGGTGCACTGTGTATGTTTCCTAAAGCTCATTATTTTCCATGCCACACAGCAACGAAAACCCAATAGGAGAAGAAGAAGAGAGAGTGATTGATTTTAGGTAGAGTAAGCATCTTGCAAAAACACTCATTTAGCCTCAAGCTGAGACTTAAAATCTTACATTTCCAAGTGAAAACAGTAGAAAAGCATTTCAGTCTATCTTCAATTTGAAATTAAATATCTCACTCCAATACGAGGGAAGACAATAAGCCTCAACTCAAGGCTAAATGACTTAGAAAGTGGATATTTTTCTACACTTTACCTCTCGTGAAATAAAATCAATCGTGACCACCACAAACCACAGCAAGCACCCACAGTGGCTGATGCTCAGTGCGGCTCTGTACCTCGCCGCTTGCTCTGTAACAGACTAGAGGCGCTCATCCATTTGACTCTGCTCAGACTGACATGGGGAGCGGGCTCTAGACGGGGAAGTGGGAAGAAACAGCCGGCAAATTAACGAGACAGCCAGCCAGTGGTCGGGAGAAAAGCTCATTTTGTCGCGCCGGGAGAAAAGCTACGGGTGAGATCAGACTCTAGATCTGTTAGGATTCTTCACTGCGACAGGGGGAGAAGGTTAGTACAGCACAGAGATGGTCGGTTAGTACATCAGTCATTCTTACACAGACATTCATTAAGTATTCCCCAATGAAAATGAACACAGAATCGCCACAAATTAAAAATACAAGACTAGTGCAGAGATGATGAGGATGAGTATGACCTGTGGATGGAGGTAGAAAATGTTGGAGATTTTTTCATTGGTATAAATGTGTGTAAATTGGATGCAGGTGGTCTGTCTGAGGATTTTCTCTCTCCACACATGTATAACACTGCCAGGTTGAATTTAAGATGACAGGATATGATCACACATCCAGTTTCACCCTCCTACGTGGGACACAGGTGAAATCTACATAATAAAAAAATAAACAAGACCGGAGCACAGGGCTAGTGATGAGGGAGGGGGAGATGAGTAATGGCCCCTCTAGAATTAGACGTCCCCTATACTGGAACACAGATATACCTTTGAACCCAAACGGCGTGGGGTCACTCTTGACCGTGTGGCGTTTGGAGCCGTGTTCGGGGCTCAGGGCCGAGCCTGGCCACACGGGTGAGGGAGGGGAAAAAAGAAATTGAAGAAGAGGAAGAGAAAAGTGAGGAAGAGAACGGGCTCAGGGAAGCAAGAGTTTCACAGTATAATTAAACATCTAAGCCAGTGGTGCAGGTAGATTTATAATGTAAGGTAATGTTGACCTCCAGTCAGCGGAGTGCCAGACTTTTGCCACCAGGAGGCAGCGTTTCTCACACATAAGAACTTCACAGTAAAAGCTGATCTGATTTCCAGGCTCAGCAGGAGGCCCGTTACTGGAAACCTGCTAGTAACTCTACTGGTTGTCAAGAAAACACTTGATCCAAATTGATTAAAGAATATATCTGAATTTGATGCAGATATACATAAATATGGTGCTTTTAAGTATTTATTTAAATACAGCACTCTTAAGTCATTTCTAACCAAAATGATCAAATTCACAATTTTTGAATATTAGTACTGAATTGTTGTTAATGGTTCTGTCCTATGGTCAAGCCCCAGTTAACTTTTCATTCATAAAAAGAAGAATATGTTATTTATATCTCTTTAAAAGTTGCACTGTCTCGCTTTAACAATATATATATATAATCAAGTCAACTGTTTCAAAGACCTCCAGTGTCGCTCATGTTACCTTTTGGACTCTTGAGATTGCTGAAGCCCTGCAAAGTAAAGCGCTTTTTAGCCACTGAGGATCTGTCAGTGGTCGGACTGGTCACCGGTTCATCTGGAAGCAATGGTTTGAAATGGAAGAGCAAGGGAGGAGAAAGGATAGATGCAGCCCAGAATAGAAAAATAAAAAAAAAAAGAGGTAGAGAGTTGGGAAGAGGGGCCGTGAAGATGAAGGTGATGAAGAAGAGAGGAGTCAGATTAGAGAGAGTTTACAGTGAAGCTTTCAGGAGGAGCATAGGTGCAGTGTGAGGATGCAGCGTCAATTCAAACGCTCACCTTTGTAAAAAAAAAAGAGGTAGAGAGTTGGGAAGAGGGGCCGTGAAGATGAAGGTGATGAAGAAGAGAGGAGTCAGATTAGAGAGAGTTTACAGTGAAGCTTTCAGGAGGAGCATAGGTGCAGTGTGAGGATGCAGCGTCAATTCAAACGCTCACCTTTGTGTTTCGGCGAGGAAGAGGAGTTGGCGTCGGGGGTCGGGCCTGGCTCGGCCTTCTTCTCATCCTGCTTCTTCTGGCTCTTCTGACCGCTGCTACGGAAGGGACTGGAAAAGACGAGGAGAAGAAGAAATCACATCACAATAGATAAAAAGGCACGGGCGTGTTTTTGCTTCATACGAGTAGATGCTGCGGTGACACCAACCTGAGTGAGATGGAGCTGTTGTTGCTGGTGGGACTCAGGGAAACAGAGTCCAAGTTCTTCTGCTGACTGGCATCTGAAACAGGCAACAGTTTACTGCAGTAAAAGACAGAAGAAGAAGACAAGTGTGTGTGTGTGTGTGTGTGTGTGTGTGTGTGTGTGTACCTCTGCAGGCTTTGAGCTGTTGTGTCAGGACTTTACGGATCTCATTCACCCACGCTGTTTTAATCTCTGGTGTTGGAGCCTGATTAAGACAAATAATGACAATAATTAAGAACAAACAGAGACGGGGTTTTTCTTTAATGATCATTTTACTGTTGGAAATCCATATTACTCAGGCTTAGTGACCTCACCTGGACTATAAACACTTCTTCTCTGGAGTTGCACCAAATCTCAAACTTCTTGTTGTCTCCTTTAGCATTCTCTGTTATTCCCACTGCGCTCATCTGAGAGAGGGAAGCGAAAGGAGAGGACGTTACTTTTCTCTGCAGCTGCAGCAACATTAAACCCTTCACATGTGAACGACGCAAGCTTACACTGAGCGAGTGTTTGAAGCTGTACGATGGCGCTTTCTCGTAGCCCTCGCCGTTCTCCTCCCTCCTCTTACAGAAGAGCAGGGCCTTCTCGTGCAGGAACAGGTGCCTCTGCATTGGCTTGAACCGGGCCAGGTCCTTGACCTTGGCGTGACCTTTTTTATGCTCCGTCCACACGCTGAAGGAGCCTTGCATCAGCAGGCGGCCCAGCTCTGACAGGTTACCCTGAATTAAGGAAGAAGGCAGACGTGGGTTAACGGTTTGGGAAGCAATTGATCCAAACGGGTGTGGTTTGTTTCTAATTTCTCTGACCTCGTATCCTGTGATGGCGATGAGGTGCATGGAGTCATTAACAGCTTTAAGGATCCCCAGAATAGAGGAGAGAGCTTCCTGTAGGTCATCGCAGCCGTCACAGCCTTTACTGTACTTCAACAACTCCTGCAAACACAAAGTGGAAGATATCGTGAGTCTTCTCCGTCTTACGCAAAACTCACATACTAGTAGATGTGTGAACAGAGCGCACCTTAAGCAGTAGCTGGTACTTGGTGATTCTCTGGACAGGTTTAAGGAGGTAGGAGTCCAAACCAAGTTTATGTTCCAGTTTCTTCTGGCACTCCTGAGGCACAAAACACAAACCAATAAACACACCTTGAGATGATTGATCTAGAGAGTCACAAATAAGGTGGAAGGTGAGAGGCCGACCTGGAAGAAGGCACAGTCGGAGCACTGTCTCCACAAGCTCTCAGAGCGAGGTTTATTCTGGCAGTAAGCCTCGTAGATCTGCAGGTCCTTCATCTACACAACAGGTTTGTGAAGCAATTACTGCTTGGTTTCAGGATTGTCAAAATAGAATAATGTCTGTCACTGATTTAATTGGTTCTTTATGCATAATAATTGTGGAACGTAAAGTGCGTACCCGTTCTAAAAAGCAGCGGCCCACCAGTTCTGGGCAGTCAGTGTACGCTTCCAGCTCCTTTAGAAACGTCCTGGAGACAAACCGCAAATGTTTAGACCGTGAAATCAAAGTACAAAATTCAAATAACCCCAAGTGAAAGAAGCAAACCTCTTATGAAACTGGTGGATTTCCGACATGTTTCCAAACAGGACGTCTTTCTTGCTGAGCAGGGTGCTGGGGATGAGGTGAGCCATGGCGGGGTTGTCCATCTCTGCTGCATAGCCCTGGAGTTCAACATCACATACAACTTTTAGTTTGCGCGTCTTTTCGAGGGAAAACCGCACCGAAGCGCCTGTCTTTTAAGCCGGTGAGCACACTCACCTCCAGCACACACAGCAGCTCCTCCACATACGCTCTCTCCGTCTCCAGCAGTTCGTTCATCACGTGACTGGAACGCGAACACAAACCAAATCCAGACTAAGCTCCCAGTTTATCACGATGAGCATGAATGACAGTGTACTGCGACCTGAACTCTCTAACTCAACCATGAGGCAACAAAAATCTGTTTTCTCTCTTACCGCCGAAGCACTGCCAGGTTTTCTTCTTCTTCTGAGAGAGAAGCGTGTCTGGTGCCGCCGTTGTGTATGGGAGACTCCACCTGGAGACACACACATTGCATATTACAACCACATAACTTTGATAAAACATGTCTTTTTAAGATATAATCAAACGTTATGAGCAACTGATTCAGAAAAACTAAAAGAGACTGAACAAATTCTTGAATTTTACCTTCTTGCAGATGGCGTTATCTGCAGAGTATCTCCTCTCTTTCCTCTGTTGATCTGAACGACAAAGAGACAACAGTGTTTTTTTATTCCCTTATATGTAACCATGTAATCTGACATGTATCACTTCATCCGGGCTTACTGGGAGAGGATTGTGGAGACTTCACTTCAGGTCTTGGTGCTACTGGTTGGACTGGTCTGGTCTGCTTGGCGGCGAGTTTCTTCAAGCTGACGCGTCTCTTCTCGAACATCTCCTGGACTGAGCTTTGCTTCTGGAAAACTCTCTCCACCTGGTCCTGATGGAGACCAAACCACACGTTGCAGCAACTTAAACTCAAGTGAGAGACATCTCATACAAATGCCTGTTAGTGCCACTTCCTACTGACCCTGAGCTGAGTAGTGAGCACCGCCTCGTACTGGCAGCAGATGGCGCTGCGGTCAGTGAGGGTGTGGAGCGGTGCTGTGTCCAGGTACCGCTCCAGTTCCTGCAGAGCTGCTTCAGCTCCGTCCTGAGACTGACAGCGGTCCACAGGCTGGCTGGCCAACAGGAAGATGCCGTCCTCACACCACCGCGATGCCTGGGGGGGGGTTATGGAAGTGATGAACAGAAACTGAAAATATGTTGGAGCATGGTGCTGAAAGGAAAAGCTCATCATTCCTACCTTCTCCAGAGCGTGGTGGAGCTCCATCGCCCTGAGTAGGAGGTTCTTCTTGCTCCTCAGTGTGGAGCTGATCTCCTCACACACTCCCCTCAGCTCGCTGCACTTCAGCCTGATGGAGTCCTCGGCATAGTGCGAGTTTTCTATCAGCCTGTCGCCTTCACAGGCCAGGGACAAGGCACGGTCCAGTACATCCTGTTGAAACACATTGGAGATGTCTGTAGAATACTGGCTCGGCAGCAGACGGCAGGGGAAGCATCATCAATCAATCAATCAATCAATCAATCAATTGTCGATCCCTCTCTTTCTCCACCTTTTCCGTATGCAGAGTGTTCATTAGTTAATGCAGAATGGAGTGAGACGCCTACATTATGCAAATCAGTCAACCTACAGTCAGTCTTTCTGTCTGACTCTCTTACATCAGTGTCCATTCATATGTCAGTGAGTGGGGGACGGTGCAGGACATAACATTGATTATGTCATTATCCATATGGCTTCAAGGATGCAGCAAAGGTGAAAGTGTTGAGCGTGTGTTTTCTGTGCCACGTGAGCTGCAGGATGAATCAGGGCTGCATGTGTGTGTGTGTGTGTGTGTTTGTGTCTTACACAGGCTCTGTCCTCATGGCTGCCGAGCTCTCGGAGGACGTGCTCAGCATGGGCGGGGCTTACGCTGACCTCAGAGAAACCCGACAGCCTCTCTGACGTCACATCAAGCAGGGCGCGCACCTAAAAAAAACACACACACACCAGGTTAACCTCGTGTGGCTCAGCTGTCCAAAAAATACATTTCCCATGATTCGGCTCGACTCACTTCACGGAAGTGCTGTTCAAAATGGCGCAGCTGCAAACACTGTTCCAGCTTAGTGCAGTGACGCTCCCAGAAGTCATCGAACGCCGTCTCCGTTTCGTCCAGCTGACCCAGGAGTCTGAGAGGGAGGGGGACAAAGAAAAGGAAGAAAAGAGAGGAGGAGAGGAGGAGGAGTCAGAGGAGGAGATTCAATCATGCGTTCAGGGACAACTTCTTTATCGATTTGTGTATCCATGCATCCCGTCCTCTACCTCTGTACAGTAGCTAAGTTGTCCAGTTCATCGTGGGTCATGTTGTATTCGGGGTCTGTCTGTAGAGGCTCTTTGATACAGTCCAACAGGTGTCCTCCTTGAGACAGCGCCACCTGCAGGTCCTCCTGGAAGTTGGACAAATCATTTTTGTGAGCGAATGAAGTTTAACACAGACAGACATGTGGCTGGGTCGACATGTGCTATATCTCTCACCTTCATTTTATCCTTCTTCAGTGTGTGCGTGTGCAGCAGGTTGGTGGTGGCCTCGGCGTCATTGGGTAACTCTGTCTCTGCGAGCTCAGTGCCAAACGCCTGCAGAGTCTGAGCCGTGGTCTTCACCATGAGAGCGAAGGCCTCGATTGCCTGTGGAGGGATTTATCTCTTAGGTATGGCATATGTGCGCATATGGAAGGGGTGTGTTTCTTTGTGCATCTGTGTGGACATACAGTGCGGTGTGAGATCCAGCTGTCATGGCAGTATTCCTGTGTGCCTCCCAGCTCTGTGGTCAGTTGTCCTGGGTCGATATAAGCATGGAGCTCAGTCACCGAACTCAGCATCACCACCTGATAGAAACACACACATTAGTTATATTAACACATTATATTAAGTAACATAAAATACAAAAAGGAAAGTGAGTTTCAATAATAAAAGAATAAAAATCAATCACTTTTGTACTGAGGTAAAAATGTGTTTATCGTTTGTTGTCAGTCTGGTCTATTCATAGCTCTACAGTGAATTACAATGATGTAAATAATTAATTCAGTGAGTCACAGAAATACATGCATTATGTAGAGCGAGACTAAGCACAGACACATGCAAACACGTGCAGCGTACAAGTCGTACTGGCACCTTCATTTTGAACTCATCCCTGTTGTACTTGAACAGGAAGTCTGACAGAGTCCGCTGGAACAAAGTAGTGGGACGCAACACCAGAACCAAGTGCAAGTTCCCTGGAAATGAGCCCTGGGAGAGGAAAGGAGCAATCTGTTATCACATGCAGGAAATAACAGAGGATCACTGATCTGTGCCGATTCGTATAAACACCAAACACAACCAGAAGCGAAGCATGATGCAGGACTATAACCTCTGTATTCCTTTGGATTCTGAGTCAAAATATATTTCCACTCTTCACACTTATTGCATCAACACGCTCCTGTCTGATAGAGTCATCACAATCGCCCCAAGTTCAAGTTCAGCTCAACTGATGTTTTCATTCACAGCAGCAGTGATTCACCTCACGTATCTCTGTTTATCGAGGCATTTTCTTTACATCTCCTGATGGAAAACTACAGTTTACAGACCAACAGAGAGGTCAGAGGTCAGACAAAGACAGGTCGTATGTTCAGACCAGGGTTAGATAGTAATTAATATCTCACTGTGACAAACTGGGTTGTGGAAATTCATATGTTCATTATGCTAATGTCACTATTTGCTGCTTTACAGGGGCCGTGCAGCTCCTGAGTGTGAAGCTGGTCCTGATGGTGTAACCACCGTCCCTCTGCACAAATCCTGAACCCAACCGTGAAGAGGATTTTTCTAGGATTTCACATCCACTAAATCTCCTACATTTCATCCCAGATGTTCCCTGGTTGTGACTTCCATCTTCAAGAAGCTGCGACTGCGAGGTGATTTTATTAGTCCTTTTGGAGTAGCCGTAGTTTTTGTTTCTCCACCTCCACACTAACAGGTTAAAAGCGTGCAATTGCTTTTACACAGACAAACAGCCCAGGAGGCCACTCAGCCGAAAGCCTGTATTGGTCACGGCTGTCCTCTAAAGCCCTGGGTGGATTGCTCCACCCTGTTAGGCAACATAAATCGATGTAGGGTGACATGCGCACACACAAGTGGCCGGAGGCGAGCTCCGAGATGAGTGACAAGCTCATGAAATCTTCAGCGGTGCCATAAATAAAGTCTGAGTGGAGACATGAGAGAAAAGAGTGAAAGCATTCAAGACATTTGAAGCTGAACAATAATCTGAACGAAAATAAGAGATTTTTTTTTATCCTCTTTCCTTAGTGGTTGTTGCTTTTTTTCCTGGATCTTCTGATGAAATCTGAGTCGTAGCAGTGTCTACTGAGCTATGCTAGCTAATGCTGCTCAAGCAAACAACCAATTTTATTGTAATGCAATTACAATGAAGCCTGACCAGCTTTTAAATCGTTATCTGAATGCGCTGTATAAAAGGTTTATTACTTTTAGGGATGTTTTAATACATTAATGCAGCGATTCCATTGTATATGTGAAGGAACAACACAGAGACTGGTGTCCACAATCGCTACAAAATGGTGTCACCCACTGACTTCATCCGTCATCCCAAAGCTGGTATTCATCACAATCACAGAGAACATCCCATAAAAAACACACACACACACACACACACACACACACACACACACACACACACACACACACACACACACACACACACATACACACACATACTCACACACACTGCCGGTGCTATGATAAAATAATGTACACGGCTCTAATTTAGTCTACAAGGAGACCTGCACTCACACACACACGCGCGCATACATCATAGTCATGAAATGCCTGCATGAAGTTGCCATGGAAACCATTCTCCTTGGATAACACATGGGGAGAGATGGAGAGAGAGAGAGAGAGAATGCAAGGGAGTGATGGTACAGAGAGAGACGTGTGTGCGTGTGTGTGTGTGTGTGCGACAAATTAAGAGAGAGAGAGAGAATAAGAGCGGCAGAGAGTAGCTGATGTCTGTCTGTGTTGGAGGAGTACGCTAAAAAGTGTTGATAGTACTGCAGCTCCGCTTTGCTCTTCCAGTCATTTATTTTTGGCACACGCATGCACACACACACACACACACACACACACACACACACACACACACACACGCACACTCATGTTCGCACTCTGCCTGCTGTGATGTTGATGAAAAACAGCCAGGTTGGAGAAATTGCTACGTTCATTGTGCATGGTTCCCTCCCAAACGAACCATTGCCAGTGTATTTTAAATAACGCTACACGCTCTCTTACGCCATCATACTTCCTGCTCTAATTATAACAAATTACATCTGCAGATATTTAACTGTAGGGAAGAATAAAGATACAATAAAACATGAGAATCATTGTAATTCAGCCAACAAGTGCAAGTTCATGTTAATTACAAGATTAAATAGATTATTAATTTTTTTCAATTTGCGCTGGTTCTTCCACCATACAAACTATACATGTGTAATTGGAACCTATTGAATTCAATAAACCCTGAGAGGTCTTGATTTAATTTCTAGCTCTGCATTAACATGACAATACACATGCTGCTCAGTGTATCCCCATGACAGATGTTAGTGCGCGCACACACACATCCCAGGGAACACACTTATACATTAAAGTGATGCACACTCATACACACTTCTCACAGATTAAAAAAAAACATGCATTAATAAATGATAAGGATTAGAATATCATTTTCTGTTGATCAGGCTGATTTATATTCTTGTGGTGCGGATGCAGGGAGGGAAGGCACTCCAGTCATGTCCTCTAATGACATCCACATTGTCCTCTTGGGAACTGGATAGCCACCATATTGAATCACCTCCCTCCAGAAGCCCCAAAAACGCCTTCTTTATCTGTATCACTGCTTTTGCAAAGTGTCCCAATTATGACAAAGATGATAGGCTTTGCATCTTGACAGAAGCTAGTGTGCTATAACTGCTTCTTAGCTGGTATATCACTGTTAAAAAAAAACAACAACAAATTCAAGCCTCTTGATTGCACCAAGTGATAGAGCCGTCTGCGTCTTCACCCTGCAGCGATGTTCCCGTAGCATGCTTCAATGCCTGCATATTTATTACCCTAAATCACAAAGATGGACTGCAACAGAGATGAAGGTGTCCCGTCATCATTTGACTGCAATGCATGTGGATTCGCCTGGTTTACTCTAATTGAAGTTTGGTTTTTGGGTGATGGATCTACATTTTGGAGCAAACAGGAAGAAACTGTTGCTTTAATTCTACAATAGCAATTCAAGTGTGAAAACATTGTAAACACATTATATAAAGGGCTTAATGCCATTCATTTTACCAGTGCAATGAAATCACTAGTATTTAAGGCTCTTCCTGGAATGTCTTTAGTATGTGAGAAGCAATTGTTGCTTATTTCATGGTGACCATCAACTAAAGGTCAAAGTTCATCCTTGTTTTTTTTTTATTTACCGCCACAGTACAACACTGTACATGAAAGCATCTGTTGTACACAGGCTTTACATGACAATAGTGTCCATTTTTTTTTTTTCTTTCTTTCTTTCAGGCGAGGAACCGGCACATGGCAGCGGGCGACCTTGAACAGCCTTGAACGTCTCACGGGAGGACGGATGACCTTCATTCTCCAGTAAGACCGCATGCCATTGGCTGGTGGACAAAGCGGGCGTGTGCAAGGACAGTGACAGTGCCACAGGGGGATTGAAGTGAGGGGACTGAGGAGGAGAGCACCGGAGACACTCCTCCTCTCACCACCTGCTCCTCATGCCTCCAGGTTAAGTTATAATCCACACACGCTGCCTTTATTCATTCTGCTCTCTATACATGAAACATGAAAAGGATTTAAAGCTCTAACACCCGGTGTGTCTTTCTGAATTTCATGTAAATATAAGGAGCTTGTTGCAGACTAAAATAAGGAGCTGTCTTTGCTTGAAGTCTGGATTTAAGAGGCTTTCCTCACCTGAATCAGCTGATTTAGATAGAGAGACATTACTCCACCTTGTAATCTTTTTTTTTTTAGGTTGTCTGTCTACAATATTTATGCCTCTAACTGGCCAACAGGTCAGTGGTTTTTACAGCATTAAGCCCCACAACTATTATCTTCTTTGTTTCCACTGTGATGTCATTTTCCAACAACAGACTGGAATTTAATGAGAATGGAAACACAGACAGACATTTAAACAAAAAGAGCTGATAGTTAAAAAAAGAAACACACATTAAAAGTGTTTCCATGTGGTTTCCAGTGTTACTTTTCAGAGTGCGGTGTTGGGAAGGGAAGCAGAGGACGACTGCGGGGGGCAGAGGGAGACAGCGCAGACACAAAAGCAGAACAGAGGATGGAAGAAGAAGAGGAGAGCGAGAAAGAGAGCGATGTGATCAGCAGAAGAGGTAAAGGGAGGAGGGGAGATCACTGATAAACTACCACTTTAACTACCTCTCTGAATCATGGGGTTTCTGCTGGGTATGATAGGATGTGAGACTCAATTTATCTCAGCTTTATCACTATTTTTTATTTTTTTTATTTATCTTTCCTCTGTTTTATTGTGGTCAGTGAGAGCACAGACGAAAACAATCAGCGAAGCATTTCATATTTTCAATCAACTACTTGAACAACTGGATACTGAAATTAAACTGAGGGCACGTGTGGCATCTGTAAGTGTCAGTAAAACGCTTTAACGCTTCATTGAGGGAAAATGTTGAACATAGAAGGCGGATTTTGCTACCTTTGGACAAAGCCAGGCTAGCCGTTTCCCCCCGTTTCCCCCTCGCTATGCTAAGCTATGTGAGCGCGGTGTCAATCCTCTCATCTTCCTCTCAGGAAGAAAGTGACTGGTGTGATTTTCTCACTCAGTTTCCGCTCAGAACACTGTTGTGTTTGCCTGTTTGCGTGTATCTCAGTTTGTTTTTGCTCACACTTTCGCATTAGACCTGACAACAATTAAAGCAGAAAGGCCCCCTACTCCCTTGGCTCCCTGCTATCAGTAAATCCCACAGTCCATCAACGCCCCCCTTCAAGGACATGGACTGGACCGGTGGACTGGAAAAAGATAAGGGACCTTGCATGGTCCATTATGGCTGGTGGGGCAGTGTCTTGAGTGTGCAGATGTTTGTGTTCGCGCAGGTTAAATTATTGCCACAGTGGGGATAGTTTCTATGAAACACCATAGAAAAACCATTAGGCATCATTGTAATCAGTGTCCAATTACCATATATTAGCATATATCTGCATACATTAAAGATGCTAAATGGTGTAGTACACGATGAGCATCTTAACAACAGCTGTGGTGAGGCTTCGTCCACATGTTGGCTGAGCTGGTTAATCGTGGTTCACAGACGGAGTAGAAGGGAAGACAATGCAAAAAGGAGAGAAAGTCAAATATCTAATGAATTAAGTAATGGAAAAGCAAAGTGAAACAGGATACAGTGTCATGTTAGGGAGATAAATAATAATCAAAACTTTTGTCAAACACTCAACCTTCACTATTTCACGTTCTGTCAATATGAATATCAAGCAGGGAATATTTCTGAACCTTTTTTTCAATGTCTCTTCCTGTCTCTCTTGTACTCCCTCCTCGATTCATCATCTTAGAGAGGAGGGAAAGTTTTACACTGTCCAAGAAGTAGGCTACTAGGCTAATGATACAAGACTGATAAAAAAAAAAAACACAATTACAGAATGAGACTAATGGCTCACACAGCTTGGACTCTCTATTTCTGCTCCAACAGGACTGTGTCTCATTGCGCGCACACATACAGTACACACACTATTTTCACACGTTGTGAGACTCCCACCACCCACTCCAGCATAATGTGCTATTTTTAACTCCCATCCTGCCTTGTTCCAACACCCAGAAAGAAAAATGCAGTTGCCTAATTGGCAGTACGTGTCCTATCTGTACACAGCTGAGGACTACAGAACTAAACTACAACACACACAGTTTGTACAAGCTAGCAACTCACCACAGAAGACCAAAACATCCATTACTCTTAAGTGGTGACAAACCAAATTATACACACACACAGCTGACGCCAGCAACTACACCCACAGGTCCGACTTTAAACAAGCATTATCACATGTAGAGTAATGCACACACACCAAAACAGCTGATTTGTAGGCATCAGCAAATGAAGCATACAAACAAACTGATCCAGGACAGTTTCTCTCCCATACACACACACACACACACACACACACACACACACACACACACACACACACACACACACAAACACACACAAACACAAACACACTGGATCTTACTGCGATGCGGAGCAGGGTAGCCCTGACGGCAGCCCATCGGTCCAGTCGTCTGTCGATGACCAGGATGAATCCCACTCCTGATGCTGCAACACTGCAGGAAAGAGGCACACACTGTTATCACCAGGGAAACCACTATTCTATGTGTATGTGTGTGTGTGTGTGTGTGTGTGTGTGTTTTCCAATCGGGTTTAAATCAAGGTCTACATATTGTTAAGGTGTACGCAACAGGTCAAACTAGTGAACATGGCATTATTGGACCTTTATGGAGCAAGATGAGGACTGAGGAATAAATTCATCTTCCATCAATTTTACTCATCAGAAATTATTTTCAAAAGTCTCAATTTTCAGCACTGCATTTCCCAGAGATCATTTCACTCCCCTGCAGTGTTGCAAGTATCTTTTCCTGGAGAAGAGCTACCACTTACTGCAAAAGCTTCCATTAACTGTCATCAGCTCTATCACTGTACGTCACACATAATAATATATAAAAAAATTGTATTTCAAAAGAAAATCTTCTTGACATGAAAAAATTATATTTACCAATAAGAAACTGATGCTAGGAACGGTTAAAACCTTGTGCCGACCGCCTGTGTGTCTGTAGTCATCATTTGTCATCAGTGATGATTATGAGAGACCCTTGTGATTACCATGGCAACCTTGGCCCTGCATTAGTGTGTGTGTGTGTGTGTGTGTGTGTTATGTGTGCATGTGAAAACCTTGCCATTCATTCCACAGGCAGTGCCATATGTAGGATCCTCATTAAGCTAATGCGTGTGTGTCAGTGTGTGTGTGTGTGTGTGTGTGTGTAAGTGAATGCAGCAATGCCTGCAAAGGTCCTGCAGGACAAATTGACATGCATCCTGACACCTAAACACACGAGCAAAAAGGATGAAGATCAAAGCACAACACATACACACACACACACACGCACACACACACTGTGTGGCCAACATATGAATACTGCTGAGTTGGTCCATCTGGGTGCCATTATTAGCCAATTTTCATCAGCACACACATACATATTAAGAAAATGAACACGCTACACTACCCTGTGAACGCTGCGACAGCAAATCCTCAATGCATCTCTAGTGGGTAAAATATTCAAAGCACATGAATGAAGCCAGTTGAATTGGGAAAATCTGTTAATCCAGGTCAGAGAAAGGACAAAAATCCTGAATATTCCATTGTTATCATCCAAAAATAATCCAATCGTCCCTCGTTTTTCCTCTTCCCGTTGTTGTCAGTGTTCAGTTCCTGCAGCCACAGTCATCTGTTTGCAGCTCGCAGACGGAGAGAGGTGACCGTTCACATCCTTAAAGAGCATCTCCCTCCTCCTCCTCCTCCTCCTTCTCCTCCTCCTTCTCCTTCTCCCTCTGCTGCTCCACCACCCGCCTCCCACCCTCAGCCAATTAAAGCTAAGCTCCGCATCTTGCTGTTCCCCCGCAGCCAATCGGAAGCTCAGAGTGCAGCCGATTGGCAGTTGGGTGCAAATGGCTGGTGGGGAGAGAGGGGAGGGGACTCAGAGGTGGAGGGGGGTGGTGGAGGGGCTTGGAGGGGGGGGGGGGGGATATGAAAGGGGATGAGCAGCAAAAAAAGAGAAAAAAAAAAACCTGATACAGAGAGGCCGCCATGACACACACACACATACATACAAGCGCATATGTGTATCTACACACACATCTACAGATGAATAGATCTCCATCCTTTCTCCTGCCTTAGATTATGTGTGAATGCAAGAGTATATGTGTGTGAAGTGTGTGTGATGGGAGTGCAGCACTCAGTAGTAAAGGAAAGGTGAAAGAAAGGGAGGTGGGTGAGAGGGAGGAGGGACAGAGAGGGGGAGGAGAGAGGGGGAGAAATAAGGACAGAAAGAAGAAAGCAGGTGTGGATTATGATTTAATTTGAATTTAATTAGCAGAACATTTTCTGCTACGTTTAACCTCAAGCCACACCCAAGACCTTTCACTCAGGGCTAGGGTTATAATGGTACTTTATTTTGGAAAATACTTAAAATTAAACACATCTTCTATCTACATTTACATGAAGATCATTCTGTCTAAAAGAAGATTCAGAAGATTGTTGTTTTGCTTGCTGCACTGCGTTTTATCATTTATCATATGCTCACTATACCCTTTTCTATAATCTTTTATTCTGTAAATCTATTTCATCGAGTCCTTTGTGGCGCTTCCCTTGTGGCATCCCTTTGGTATTGTGCTGACATCTGCTGGCTCCATGTGGTATTACACCTCCAATTTGTTTGGCCACAGTCCCTTCACAGTTTGTTTGTTGAAGCTGGGGAAGGGATGGATGGATGGATGGTGTGTGTGTGTGTGTGTGTGTGTGTGTGTGTGTGTGTGTGTGTGTGTGTGTGGGTGATGCTAACCTGGGGACGCTGGTGAGGTAGCTGAGGACATTTTGGACCTCCTCCTCCTCTAGCTCGTTGAAAGCTGGGAATTCAGGGAAGACGATGATGGGGTTGCCGTCCATCCCGCGGCCCCCTGGAGACACAGAGGTCAGGGGGAGAGATCATAGAGAGGTCAGAGTGACATCCAGGCGGTGTCAGCCTGAGGTTCTGGCACGTTGGTGATTTCCTCTTGACTTATTTATATGAAGGCTGGATGGAAAATACTGACTTTTGAGCAGAGAGAAACACAGTGATACACGTTGAAGAAAACTCTTTACGAACAGTCAAGCAATTAATTACAAATGCAGAATCTTAATTATCACACATTATATACTGATTAATCATTTTTCATCATGTCTTTATGAATGATAGGAGTTAAGAACTTTTTCTAATTAAATAATTGAAAAGTGGATTTTTAATGGAGGTGGGAAAAAAACATGCGGCTGCCCTTTAATTGCAGTTTTCCACAAACAATTCAGACAAATAAGAACCCCACCTCCAAAAGGCCACAGCAAAAACTTCAGACAAGTGTTTTAAATCAAAAGGGCCTCACACACACACACATACACACACACACATGCACACACTTGGCCTCCTCTCTCTTTCGTTGTTGGGTCAAGTTGCAAAGCACATCATCATGGAGATAAATTATTCACATGCCGTCACTGGACAGGCATTATCGTCATGGTAACCCAACACAGGGGCCCTAAGTGTGTGTGTGTGTATGTGTGTGTGTTTGTGTGTGTGTTTTTCTCTGTGCATACGTTTGTTTCATGTTTGTGTGCATTTCTATGCAAAGTACGGGGTTTGTGCATATGTGTTAGAGTGTGTGTGTGTGTGTTTGAGTGTGTTTGTGTGTGTGTGTGTGTTGTATCTGGGTCAGCCTGTCATCAGTAACGGACGAAAAGTGAAACTTTTCCAGCAGAGCGCTGCGTCGCTGACTGAGGCCTGAGAGCAGAACTCTCTCTTTTTCTTCACGCAGACTCTGAATCTGGAGTTTTACACTCGTTATAAAACCGTACTCTCACATGGATTTCACAGTCCACCTCATCATTCCGCCTTAAATCCGCTCTTCAGTGGTGGGATGGGATGTTGGGATTTTGTGGGGGCAGGTACCATGTGATGTGTGGTTGTGGGCTTTGCTGTATGCTCGGCCTCTGCTGCTGGCTATTTTTGTCTTCACCATGACAAATTATATGTAATAAAAAAATGGCTTTAGTATGAAACATATAACAAGTAGAGAATAGAGACAAAGATCCCTTAAGTTAAAGTCAGGATGGATTAAAAGATGATCACATCAAATATGAAGAAAGAAAATTAATCTAAAGGAAATTAAGATAAACAGGCTAACGCTAAATGTTTATTAAGCCAGCACTTTGAGAGCTCCAACCCAGAGGGCAGGGCCTCATACATGCCTCAATTACATACACAGAGGTGACTTTTTTTTGACTTTGTGACTAACATATTCCTCCCAACACACAGAGAAACTGCCCAAACATGCAGAATAATCTGTCGAGTGATGCCACTTTAAAGTCTGTGGACTGAGTAGAAGTGGAGCTATTTCTGGAATCTAATGACAAATCTTTGTTTGCGTGTAGATTTTAAAAATTTTCCTGCCGTCAAAGACGCTCCTGTCTCTGTTTGATAAAAGAGAAAAAAAAAGAGATCAGACTTCAAGCTTTCAACAGATTTGACATGAGTGTAGTAGTAGTGGTAGTACGGAGCTGCACAAAGATTATCCTAAAAATATCTACAATGCAACAGCGATAAAAAAAAAAGTGCACAAATCCCTCTTTAGTTTACTTGCCACCAACATCCCCATTCTCCAGTCTAATCTAAACAACGCTGCCTCTCTGGAAGCACACCAACATCTACACGGCGTCACTAGTTCATCCTGAAGTTCACCACTTTACCTCTAACACAATAATTTAACTGTGTTACATTGTTCCATGTAATTCCATTTGTTGCACTTTACTTAATGGGAAAAAAAAAGGTTTTGCTAGCAGTTATAGGTAATTTGAGCCATTGAGCTTGAGTTATATTTTGAAGTGGCTGACTGCAACTCTGGTGGAGTGAACCCACATTCCTAGTATATGTATGACGTTCAGGAGAGAGAGAGAGAGTGAGGGGGAGAGAATTCAAACCAACCTGGCAGGATGGCAAACTGTTTCTGGAGTTCAGAGCCAATTTCTGCTGCACACAGAGGACCATCCTCCCTCTGCAGGATGTCATCTGAAGAGAGAGAGAGAGAGAGAGAAAGAGAGAGAGAGAGGTTATATTTGACAGATATTAATCTCTTCACACACAAAAAAGATCCTCATTACATGTTACAGCTTTTTGTAATTAAGGACAGCTGATTGTAATCGAGGTTGTGAGGGGCGCTGTAGCTCACTGGCCGCGCTCTGATATCAGTCCAACGTGATCAGTGTTGGTCGTCATAGCAAACAGTTTTTTATTATTGTCTCGTTCATATAAAGCGATCCCTTAGCAACCTCGTGGTTACATAGAAAAATACCTATTTAACATAAATTGAAAATATGCTGATGCCGGTATACGTATAGGCAACGAGTGGAGGAGGCCATGCTGTGGGAAGAAAAGGAGGAAAGATGGGAATAAAAGAGGAGAGTGAAAGAGGAACTGTTCGGGAAGAGGAGAAAGGGGAGAAAGCGAGGTAACGGGGGATGAAGTAAACAGCATTTGGATTTCCTCCTCTCTCTGGTCAAGCTGGATTACAGTAATCTCATTTGGCCCCGCGGAGACATGTAGACACACAGAAAGATAGAGATGGAGAAAAAGCGAGTTGTGTATATATCATGTGTGCATATGTGAACAAAAGCTGAGAATGTTTTTTAATGTCTCTGCCATCTGTAGTGTATGTGATAGATGGAGCATCACTGTGAAGTGTGTGTGTGTGTGTATAGACAAAGGCTGGCACTGTGGCTGGTGTGAGCAAAGTGTGGCAAGGTTTCCAAGCAGTATGGAGGGTCTGGCAGCGAGAGGCATTAATTACCATCCCAGCGCAAACACAAACAGACTGTTTCACACTACAGAACGCAGCCCTCCACCCCGAATCACCCAGGAGAAGCTGTTCTGACTGATTGTAAGGCTCCAATGCCGGGAGCAGGGTGAGGAAGGGTATGCTTGCGTTAATCTCATCGAGAACAAGGCCAATGTAAAACGACACACACCAGACTTTAGAGGGAAAAAAAAAATCAAACTAATAGGAAATGATCTAGATCTGCTCCAAATTTGAATTCGTCTCGAGCCCTTGTCCCACCCCTCCACAGAGTTGGGGTGAATCGGTTCAGTAGTTTGCGTGTAATCCTGCTGACACAAAGAGCCAGCTGAGGTCAATCTACTGTCCATCCAAACTTGTTCGTGTTGTTTGAATGTCAGGCTGTCGGACATGTGGGCTGAAGCCTTGACACTTGGACCAAAGTCAGACTCCATTCACTAAAAAAACAAGGACTTGAGATTTCGCTTGGACTTTACGGCTCGCAGACTCGAGACTTGAATGCAACGGCATTACAGAACTCAGTGACCCGAGAGTCTTGAGATTTACTTGCAAACTTGCACATACTGAATTCTGTAACCTGCGGCAGCTCCATATGATGAAGACACCTCGGCAAGATTAAGAGCTTAGAGCCTAAGTAATTCTATATACAGTGTGTCAGCATGTCAGTGACTAGACAGTGACTCACACCACATACTGGAGGTCCCGAGTCTCATGTGTAGTCCACACTTAGCGGCATGTGTGTGAGAGCGTCGGCAGCTGTTTACAAGATGTTTGGGATACACTGACCTCCACTTTACGACGAATAAAAAGGTAGCACAAAACGCATGTAGCTGCGGTCAGGCAGGAATCTATTATACTGGAGGTTTACAACACTGACTGGCACACACACACACACACACACACACACACACACACACACACACACCGTAATAATGCCAGTAAGTCACTGGGCATGGCTCCAGATATCAGAGGATTACATTAAGATGTCACAGCAGTGACTCAGGAGCCATTCAGCTACTGGACCAGACATCACACACTGACTGAAAACACACATGATTATCATCCATCAGGGAACACCAACAGAAAAGAGAGAGACGGGAAAGAAAGTAAGAAGGGATGGAAAGAGCAGACGAAGGGATGAGGTGCACATTTTAAAAGCAGGACACAGTTTAAAAGAGATGGTTAACGTGGCACTAATGCAGGTCCACTGTAATAAACTTTAACAGACCACGGAGCTTCCACTCGAGCCAACCGGCCTGTAATTTAACCCAAAAACAATGTCTGCGCTATAATTAGCTCCTGCTGCAACACAAACCAAGAGAGGAAGAGCAAAGAGGAGAGGACATTTCTCTTCACGGTGCCGTCGAGCAAAGCACCGGACACCCTGAGGCGCAAATTGAACGTTACTGTGCGTATGATACGTAGCGTGGAGGACTGTGTGTGAAGCCAGCTGTCAGTTCAGTGTGTCAGTAAAGCTCTGTCTCTGCTGGAACGCAGCCAGACATGTGGAGCACCATCTGACTCTACTGTATCTATGCGAGTGTGTGTGTGTGTGTGTGTGTGTGTGTCCAATAGTCATGACCCAAACACCTGTGTGTGACATGGTCCTGGCAAACAACAGCAGGCCAAATAGACTTCGACACTGTAAATACTTGTGGGTAATATTTTATCTGCTCCTTCCCCATTTGCGTAATATACCTAAACAGTACATCCACTTTATGGGAGCTTTTACCTTTTCCTTTCCAGCTGATGCTTTGTTGCGTTTTCCAAAGTGTTTGGCGAAGTACATGTAGCATTTAGCTGTGGGTTTTAAACACAGGTCAGGAAAGGAGCTGTGACAGCGTCAGTGAGTGATAGGATGAGCAAAATTGTTTTTGTGGGAGCCCCCCCCCCTCCAGGTAGGAAAATGACAGAGTGGCTTTTAATAACAGCTGTTCCACACTGTATTTTTATTGTTATAATTGAGTCAGAAAGAGCAGGTCGGCGACACCTTCAATGATTTGAAGTGCATATTCTCGTGTTTTCATCCGTTTGACTGTAGATCAGCAGCTACTGTATATTTGACACCAATTCATTAATGAGGAAAAAAAAGCAATGATTTCATCAAGTTGAAACACGCAGTGTCGCATGGCTTGTGAACGACACGGGGTGAATGGTGAAGACGGATCAGACATTCAGGCGTCGGGGCTGCTTTTCACTGCTGCTCAAACTGCTAAAACTCCCTGCTTTTGTCCCCGCTGGAATGAATGAAATTAAACGATGGCGGCCAGGCTGCGAAGGGAACCCCTCTACCCACCACACACACAGTCACACACAGTCTCACACACACACACACACACACACACTGGAAGTGGGGCAATGCAGCAAAACACAAATAGTGATTATGGGGGGCCTAGAAAGAATGTCCCCCCACCTCCCCTGCCTCCTTGTACCCTTCCCCCCAAGCCCTGACATCCCCAATTCATTCATCTTTTTTTTCCTCTGGCTGAGCTGGGGGGCTAAATGATACATAACCCAACAATCTCCCCATTTAAACTGAATAGTACATCATTCAACTCTTCCACTAGGTTCAGTTCAGTTCAACAGGATTCTCTGGATCCCTATTAAGGAGCTAAGTTAACTTTGAAGTCAAAGTTTAACTCACTTCCGTCCTAATATAATGAATATGGCAATAGCATATGTGATAGGCTGTATCCTATGAGTCATCTCAGGGTTTAAATACAGCATGAGAGGAATTTCCACATCACACTGCAGCGAACTGAGCTGGGCCGTTTCACACTCTCAAGAGTCTTGCAGCTGAAAGCCTGTTTGTGTGTGTGTCTGTATATGTGAGAGAGAGAGAGAATAAGCCCTGGATTTAAAGGGGTGAAAAGATAGTGAGGAGGAGGAGGGAAGGGGGGTGGGGGGTGAGGGGTGAGGCAGTCGGAAAAAAAAAAATAGCGTAGAGGTGCTTGTGTCTCAATAGGATGAAATGGAGGACAGGGTTTCTTTACACATGCCTACATATTTAATGTGTTGGCCTGGTGCTAGGTGATACGGTGGATGTGTTTTCTCCGTGGTTGTGTGTGTGTGTGTGTGTGTGTGTGTGGGGGGGGGGGTCAAGTGAAGTACCACACTTCACTACTGTAAAACACACACCGTCACATATCTGCAGTACTTACTGTGTCCTACCATTCTAGCTTTGATCCATCAATCATTTCAGTTGGTAGTGAAGTGATTCAATATTTTATCTTATTATATTTATTTTGACTCAGTTAATAACTAGTGGAATTAAAAACAATTAAAAAAGTATATCCCAATCATTATTCCCAGAATCAAAATGTGACTTTTCAAGAAAAGAGTGACATGATTATAGGATTTCAGTGCTATAGTTTTCCAGTTTATCCTTCAATTAATTGATTAATTGGCTAATTGACTGACAAACCAATTAATCATTTTGGTTATTTTTTTTAAGCAAAATCACCAAATATTCAATGGTACCAGCTTCTCAAATGTGAAGTTAGAATCTAAGCAATATATGTTCTTATCAAAACAATTAATTTAGGAAATAATCAGCACATAGTGAATACTGAAAATAATCATTAGTCGCATCCCTACATTATTTCTCTGATTTTTGATGTCAGCATTGATGTGTTTTGAAGCTCCAACTTCATGCTTGCATCATAAAGCAGCATGTGCAATACCTGTCTAACCACATGATTGAAAATATTTTTTTGTTAACATGATGATGTGTAGTGGTATTGGCCTTCAAACAGCTGGTGTGAACCTCGCAAAAAAAAAATAAAAAGAACAGCAAAACAGCATCTCACCTCTACACAGTTAACACGATTCGAGCGATTACAATGATGCTGAATATACTTGTGTGTCTGTGTGTGTGTGTTTAGATGTGATTACGGCTAGAGCCTCTTTTACAGTTTGATTTGTAAAAACTCAATTTGTAAAACAAGACACACCCTGGTTACGTCAGCAGTCAGGGGTGAGAGAAAGGCAAGAGTCCAATTAAGTCTCATAAAGGTACAGTCCATTACACACAGTCAAAGCACCAACGACTGATGGAAACCCAGCTAGCATTGTCTCTTACTATCTCAGTCACAAAGACACAAAGACACATACACACACACACACACACACACACACACACACACACACACACACACACACACACACACACACACACACACACACACACACACACACACCTCCTCCTTTGTTCTGC